ACCGGCAAGATCGTGATCGCGCGGATAATGCACGGCGGTGCGGCCGACCGATCCGGTCTCATCCACGTCGGCGACGAGGTCTGCGAAGTCAACGGCATCAGCGTCGAGGGAAAGACACCCAGTTTCGTTCTACACATTTTGGTAAGCTAATTTTCCTATCTCGTTACAATCAAATAACGACCAAGTACAAAAAAGTAGTTTAAAGGACTATATATTTCAATCCAAATTTTTAAGTCCGAAGGCCACAAGTAAAGTTGATTGAAAATGTATTCATAAACAATTACTTTCACATTTATTATTTTATAAAATAATATAATATATATTATTGTATAAAAACATACATTTCATTATTGACTTGATAAAATATAGCTCTTTTGACTCTTAAATAAACAAGATTGTCACTATTGAAAAAAATTAACGTGAATTCGATTTTTTTCAGCAAAACTCAGAAGGGACAATCACTTTTAAAATAGTGCCCGCGGACAGCAAAAGTGGAGTAAGGGAGAGCAAGGTAAAATCTGATGGTCGGAATAACAGTGATAGATTTTTACAATATAAAATTGTGTTAAATATATATAATCGTTTAGGTTCGCGTGAGGGCACACTTTTCATATGTGGCGGCTGACGACCCTTATATTCCCTGTAAAGAAGCCGGATTAGATTTCGTCAAGGGTGATGTTCTGCATATTGTCAGTCAAGATGATGCCTATTGGTAAGAATAATTTTTGTTGTTAGCAATTATATGTACATAATCTGAATGCATTTGTGACAAATTATAATGACTCTGGTTATAAATACAGGTGGCAAGCCAGAAGGGAAGGAGATCGAAATATGAGAGCAGGCTTGATCCCCAGCAGAGCTCTTCAAGAACGTAGGATCCTCCTCGAGAGGAAGGAAAAGGAGAAGTCAGACGAAGACAATATAAGTATGTCGATGGGTTTGTTGGTTTGATTAAGTAACTCGCTTGTTGATTTCGTCTCGCAATCATTCGTCTCATCGTGTCATCTAACATCATCGAGTGTTTCTCATATTATTAATGTGTTTATATATTGTTATAGCGGCAGATATATATTGATCAATGTTGCACGAAATCCGCAGTTACTGAAGTTGCCGAAGTAGATGCTCGGAGTATATTGACAGAATGTTGCGTTCGGTCATTTTATATATTTCTATCAGAATTAATTTAAATTTACGAAGAACGCATTTGTGTGTTTAGTTAAACTGAAAGAATCTTAGATTAACACGCAAAATGCCAATGTACTCCGAGAACGCTCTGTTTATAGGCTGATGTTGTTAATGGAAAGCTTGGCGCTAATATTGGCGTGAAAGTAGCAATGTTGCATAACAAATCGTTCATTAGTGACCACCTCAAGCATACTTTAGGATCAGTCGGTTTTGTGTGCGCGGTAGATTTGTCCCCGAGGTGGTTGCCCCGTTAATTCGGTAAGTCGATCTTGGCTGCGCTTCTTTAACGAATGGATGGCCTGACGACCTAACCGTCGGTTAGGCTTGTGTTCTGTTCCAGTGCCTTTGCCCGCATTGTGCCCCCGTCCCAGTACCTCTTTGCACGCCTCGCCTACAAAGTGCAACTTGCAGGGAACTAAAACTAAAAAAATCATGTATGACGCTGCAGAGAACGACGACTTCGATCGGGAAGAAGTACCGACTTACGAAGAGGTCGCGAAACTCTATCCCAGGCCGGGTCTGTACCGCCCGGTGGTTCTCATCGGGCCACCGGGAGTCGGCAGGAACGAGCTGAAGAGGCGGCTTATGGCAACCGACGCCGAAAAGTACAAGACTCCTGTTCCCTGTAAGTTTAACAAGAAGCTCATTACAACTGATCAAGAAGGGGGAGATTAGCTTGAAGAAAAATTAAATTCATAAATATTGTAGTCACGAATTAAAAACGGAAGAATTATTATATTCAATGAATCTAAAGAATGCCAATAATGAAAGATTTATTAAATCAATGATTGATAAAACACAAGAGCAATTTGTGAAATAAAAGAATTGAATAAAACAGTTTGGTAAATGTATCTATATATTTAAAATAATTTTAAATATAAAGAGAGAGATATTATAATAGTAAAAAATATTCAATTAATTTATCAATCTAATATTCTTTTTAAACAAATCTTTTTATCAGATACGTCTAGGACACCGCGACCGGGCGAAGTAAACGGCAAGGAGTATCATTTCGTGACTCGGGAGAAAATGGAGGAGGACCTTGAGGCTGGGAAGTTTATTGAGTATGGCGAGTACAAGGGAAATTTATACGGCACCAGTTCTGAGAGCGTCAGCTCGCTCGTAAACGCCGGATACGTGTGTCTTCTGAACCCTCACTATCAAGCCCTCAAGATGCTAAGAACACCGCAATTGAGGCCGTACGTCATATATGTGAAACCGCCGACGTTCGAAGTGCTGAAGGAGACCAGAAACGAAGCCCGAGCGAGGTCGACTTTCGACGAGAACAATTCTCGAGGTTTCACGGTAAGTTGAACATTTTTATATTCACACAAAACGACCAAAAACCATTGTCATTTTTATCATAAGTTGAGTTTTTCTCAAATTTAAATAGATCTTTTTTTGCTCGCTGTGTTTTGATGTATTTAACAATAAACATCTTTGCATTTGCAATCTAAAAAAGTACGACAATTGCATTTTATCATCGATCGATATTTTATTACAGGACGAGGAGTTCCACGAGATCCTGCACAGCGCGGAAAGGATAGAGTTCCTGTATTCTCATCTCTTCGACGAGGTGATTGTGAACGCTGACCTTCCCATGGCATTCGAGCAACTAGTCGACGCAATCCATCGAGTGGAATCTGAGCCGCTTTGGGTGCCTGCCTCGTGGGTTCAGTAAAATGATAGTCGTTAAGGTTCGAGGAACAAAACGCCCGGAAGGAAAAACGGAAGAGAAGGAATTTCGTTGAAACGCGCGATTACTCGTCGCGGTTTGACGAGATCGAGCGTTTCTCGGCAACGCTCGACGATACTTTAACTCTGTCTCCGCGAAAGACGGTTCCCTGAAGAACGCGTGTACTTCTCGTCTATTGTCTCACCGAATTGCAATTTACCATCTAGCGTTATCGCGCCTTTACACTCCTAGAAATTTCGTACCTCGAGCGTTCGCGAGTCTTTATCCGAATTTCGAAAACGAGTTAAATGAAATTTTCTATTATCGGATGCCGTGCGTTCGTTGTCGGTGATCGTTGCCGGTTTCGTACGTGACGATTCACCGATCGCGAAAGAAACGCGACGCGCTTCTCCTCGACTAAATTAAATAATTAAATAGCTAATTGTAAGTATAAAATGTTGAAGTAATTTCGAAGATACGCTCCAAGTGGTTCAAAGTCGTCCAAAGTCCCACAGTTCTTGTTTACCGGGTAACTATCGTAACACTTCAGCGACACTCCGCGCATTCTTAATCTTAGAATCCTTACTGCCAGACGCTTCACCAGCGGCGAGATCTCGCGGGAGATCTCGTATCGCGCAGATCAAAAGGAAAGCGGAAGGGGGGGGGACTTTTCTGATCTCGTCGCGAATCTCTTCTATATTATATATCCTATCGACACGTCGTGAAATTCCAGTTTTGAGACCACAGAAATCTCGCATAACTTGGGATCAATGCTCAAGAAATGGAACTTGTGCTGAGGTTGCTTTGGAAGGTGTTCACCAAAGCCAGGAGAGTCACCACCGTGGGACGATCTTTGATCTCGATTGTTGTTAATTGTTGCCAAATAAGTATTGTACCTAGAAACGCGATCGAAATGATCGCACCACTGTACCTACTTATTGTATTTTCCACACTCTTGGTCAGCATTACCACGATATTACTATTTTATGTTACTCTTTTCCATGACAATGGGATGCCAATGAAAGAAAGAGGCTGTACGCTCTATCGAGTTGACGTTGCATAACTCACCCTTGATGTAAACTCTGCATGTTATCGAAATATACCATTAAACTTTGAACGTGTAATTAAGATAACCCGTTTCCTTTCACGTCTTAGATTTAAAGAAGAGAATAATTAATTATGTACAATTAAACGTTAATCCACACTGCCGTACATAATATACGTAATACTCTTGCAGGAGGCATGCATTCCCGTGTTTTCCAATCATTCAAGCAAATCATATGAGAAAGCAAATCATCTTTAAATTACAATACCGAGAAAAATATCTTCCGAGAAGCTTCATGCCTGCTGAGTAAAATAGAGAAGGCCTTCGTGCGAGTTTGTTGATAGACAACTGACACGTTTCACGTGCCTTAATTTCGCGTAGTAGTTTCTTTCTGCGCTCATTACTTCCAAGGTCAGTGTCAAATGAGTGACAGGCTGACCCAAAAAAATTACACGGATAATCCAAGTTTTTTGTGCAAAAATAAATGGCCTAGGCACAGTTATTACCGTCATAGATTTCCGAAACGCATTGTGACACAATTTGACGAAGAAGCGTTTACTCAGTATCTTGGTCTCATCTAAAAAAAAATAGAAAACTGTCGAGTCGATTATTTTTACAGCCGAAGTGCTTGTGAACAATTCGATTTAATAGGTTCGATTTAATAGAAATAATATAGAAATCTATATATATAACGAATGAACTTTAAAAAGCTGTTTCATCGATCAGAAATATTCTCTTGTAAATAGCTTCTGACCCTCAGTCGTCCCAGGGTTAATTAATGTGCTGTCCTCATTTTCTTTTTTTGTCGAGAAGTGCAGCGAGAAGCGTAATGAACATCCGTGTCAAAACTGCGACTTACACTTAACCAGCGGGAACTCTTAACAGCCCGTCACGAGCAGGCACGGAAACCACTTTGCTCTTCGCGCCAATGACTTCCTCTCGAAATTACGAGCTCCTTCATTGGAAGCGCCTGCAAATATTGATTCTCGGACGCGGGCGTTCGCGTGCATGAGGAAACTCGCGCTCATAACCGCCGCCGCGCCGCCGAGATTTCAGAATTTCTCGGCCAACTTTTCGCATGCATAAATCGCCGTGTTACTTCACACGTAATGCAATCTCAGGTCGCATGCCTCGTTTTGCGATTCGTTACTGTTGTCTATCACCTTGCCTGCGGCTTTCGTGTATCCGCCTGATTAACATACACGAAATTCGCAAAAATAGCCGCGACGATTGCGGTGCCTGGAATCGAAACTCCAAAGAGAAGATTCTCGCCAAAAATTTCATTCTTTGAACATTATATTCATCGTACAATATTCTGTAAAGAAAGCGTGAACTTCTCCGTACTTAAATTTTGTGAAATTTTTTTTATGTATTGACGATAAGAAAAATATATATAACTTGCGCCCTATTTACCGCGCCGGCTCTTACTGCCTTTTTTTCCCTTTAATCGATTAAATTTTGTGATTATAATTTTAGATTTCTAAAAATCACCTCAACATTTATTTAAAAAAAATCATTATAAATGATTATAATTAAAATCTAGGTTACATGGTCATGTGATTTAAAATTTATCAGTTATTAAAAATTTTTAGTAAATTTTAACTTTTAATAAAAAATATTTTAATGAATTTAATTTAAATTTTAGTTAAATTTATCAGAGTTGTGTTAAACATATTCAATTAAAATTTATATTAATATCAATGTTATATTAAAATATAAGCATCTCTCCCTCTCTCTGTTTCTCTCTAAAAATACAAATTTCGTTTCCGCAAATAGTACTCAAAACTTACAAAAGGCCGCTGGCAAAGTGTTCCGGGACATTTATTATTATCTCTCGGGAAGGCATAAAATTATCTTCGCGACGGGCCATTGTCATCGTTGTGGCTTGACGACGTGCCATTCGTGGTCGGTCAATCGAAATTTAAAGCTCCGCGGCCCGCGCGGACTCATTACGGAACGAATTTACGCCGCATCGGGCGGCGGCGACACATTTAAACCTTCCTGTCGTCGATGTTTCTCTTAGTTCGACGCGTACCATTGTGCGATCATCGACACGCGCCCACTTTTCACCGGTCGCTTTTATTAATCGCGCCCGATCCGAAGAAATATCCGATCGGCAGAAATCAGAAATAGCATACGCGCTCCTCGCCGGCCGGGACAACACCTTATCGTCCCCGCAGACTCCGCATGAAGCCGCGGCGCTCTCTCCAGATCATCGTTTTAGTACGGGCAGACACAATGCGCGACAATAATTCGGAAGTGATCACCGTCCGCGCGAACTACGCGCGTTATATGTGCGCGTTATATTTCCACGATGCGATCACTCGTAACGGCGGATCGAGCGACATTATCGTCTCGACGTTAATGGGCTCATCAATCGCGCGTACATCGGGCAACGTTATGTAAATGCTTCTCACCTGACACACGACAATTCTGATGGTTTAACGATGACACCGATGGCTACTATACGGCGGCTTTTAGCCAGAAATCGATAATCCGGGTAAGTTAAATTTTGGGGATTGGCAAACAACGGGAAACGGTATCTTTGCCAATCGTCTTGCATCCAAGAGAATGCCGAAAAAAAAATCTTAACTAGCGAGAACATAACAAGTTTTCGCTTCCGTCCCTATACATTTACATTCACATTAATTTGAAAATCGAGTACTAAATCACACCTCTCTGATATAAATATAAAATAATAAATAAATCTGGATACGTTTGTATATTAAAAAAGAGTATTGTAGAGCTTAGAAAAAAAAATTCTCAAATAAAGTCTCAATCTCTTTGCTTTTAACGTAATCATACATTTCTCGATGTAAAGAAGATAAAACTGATAAGGATATCAAAAGCACTCTCAGTTTGCAAAAAGCTTTTCGCACCGAAACAACGGAAGCGCGTCTCCTTGACTAATATCACTAAATTGATTTGCGCTGGATTTACTCAGCTGTCGCGCTTAGAATCAAGCGCGATAACTTCGCTTGCGTGCAATCACGAATCAGGGAGAAGAACCGCGATTCCCGGATTTCGAGAAAATTTAGGTGTTTCAGAAACATTACATTTTCCTATTGCCGACAAGTTTGTTCCGTTCAACGTTAAAAGTTCTTTCAACAGTCTCAACTAAGCATATAATTTTGAAGAAGCGTGAAAGAAGAATGAAAACGAGTACGAGGGAGAAGGATCTTACAGTGGTCACGGATGTTGTATTTTTAGTTATAGCGGATTCTCTCTAATTGATCTTGAATTACCGAATGTAGCCGCGAGCACGTGCAACGCGGCGACCGCGTGCCACGTACGACGTAAAAATAGAATGAAAAACGAGAAAATAATTGAGGAGCTTAATTCTGTCTCGCCCGCGCACAATTCCGAACGCGAACGCCGTAATTTCTGCGACCTACTACCGATTTCTGGCCGTTGAAGTTCGTAATTGAACAATTTAAAAAGTAGGAATCGGGAAAACGTAGAGACACGAGAAATAAAATTTCCGTACGTTGAGAAAAAAAAATAAAGAGCTCCATGACGTCATTTGGCGTAAGGCCGGTACAATCGCGACGATTTCGGATTTCGACTCTTCGACATACGAAAATAATCCACCAACTTGTTCGTGGAGAAAAACGCAAAATTGACGTGAAATTTATTTTTCCATAGGGCTAAAATTAAGTGCGTCAAGATTATAACGATCTCAGTTTCCGTCTGCTGTTAGAACCAGTGCTTTTGTTTTGCTGCCAAATGATGTTGCCCGTTTTAATCAATCTCGAATCCGCCGCGGTCTCGACGTATGTACGGATACGCGATACCCGCCGTAAATCGCGATGCAATTAGAATACCGCCGCGGGCTTTTACATGTATCTGGGAATGCGACGCGCCGATCCTCGAATTCGCGCGGAAGCACATTCTAATTTTCCATCAGTACGGGGCATCGTAACACCTGGCTGAAATTCGCGCCTGCGTGGACGACGAGGCCTCGCGCTCCAGCCCTCGTGAGAATTGCGAGGGTGCAATTTAAACTTTGGCCCAGTAGCCAATCAACCCCTTGACGAGCGAACGATCCTGAGGGGTCGGCCGGTGGTGGAAAAACGAGCTCGATCATCGCGCGCGTTTCAATATCGCTCGCGCAAATGGTGCGAAGTTCGTCGCCGCCGCCGCGTTGTTTCCGAAGAGAGCCCTCGCGAGCATCGTATTTCGATCGTAACTCAAGAATAGAAGACACCGGTTGCGCAAAGGTAACTGATTTAGAATCAGCCGTGCGCGTTCCGTTCGAATCACCGATCTGTTCACCGACGATCTCCATTTATTTACTTCGATAACGTTCCAAGAGAGTGAATATGGGAATCTTGTTTACTCCTAAGAGCTCAGAGCGACGCGATTAATGCACTTTTAAATGTATCACTTTTTATTTGAAATTTGATAACACATTTGTAAACGATAATAACGCTTTGCATAAACGCGCTCCTGGAAGTGATAAGTTCGAGATAACGTTTTATAACTTTGCGCACGGAGCGGGCGCGTGAAGAATACAAGACTCCACCGCTCTCGTCTAAGGCGCCTAATTATGTGATACGGATTTAGAACACGCATGGCGTACTATCTGGCTCGAGTACAGATACTCGAAAGAATCACGTTTCAGACCGTGACCGAGAGGCGCAACCACCGGGATTAGTCTCTGACAATGAGCCGGAAAGGTCATGTTAAACTTTTCGCGTGACAAAACCCGCTTTGCGAGTTTCGGTCGCAATTTGAATATCCACACATTAACGAATGTGAATAATAAGTTTAAGCATTTATAAAAGAATCTTTTTCAATTCATTCATTGACACGTTGTCTGCTTAAAAAGTTCCGTGTGTTTTATCTTGTGCACACCACAATAAAATTTTTATTAAGCATATAACAATAAAATATTGTATACCATGATTAAATAAGGCTATATTCTCTGGGTACTGCATTGAATAACGCATATTTTTACTTTGCATTGTTATCTAGCTATTTACACCATTTAAAATTTTATGTCAGATGACATTTGTTCTCTACAAGCGTTTTAAAAACTTTCGCGCGTCACCAATGATCATCAGGGCGCTGAAGTCAGGCGGTGGTCACGAATGACCTTATCTCATATATGATATTAACAGTCAACGCATTAATATTTAATTAATGTACCATTGTCGTGATCATCCAGTGTGTATCTTGTTAGACAATTAAATACGTTTACATTAATTTGCACGATGCAAATCAACATACAATACAAATTGATTTTCTAGTAAGAGAGAACTAATTTTCAAAGATATAATATAAAAATATTCAATTATACATGTCGTTGCATGTGAAGTAAATTAAACCTGAAATAAGAAATCTTTCAGAAATTGCTTTTAGGTAAACCTCCGTAACAAAATGTAAATATAAAAAGCTTCAAAAATCTCTATAATAAAATGTAAATAACTGTTAAAGGCGAAGAAGACGTTTGGACAGAATTAAAAATTCAACTGACTTCTTTCAGTATTCCGAAAGAGCCAGATTGCAGCGTGAGCGACCACGGTCATGGTCTTGAGCGGCACGCTTACGGACTCCAGCTTTTTGGCTATCACACCGTCTAAAATCAAATTTAAACCGGTTAGTAATATGTCTCTTCCGCGGGACACGCTTATATTTATTAAGAGGAGCTTTGAGCTTCGTTAAGACCGCGTGTCGAATTGCGGAGCTGGCTTATTCTCGAAAATGTCAACGACACGGCGGTGCACGTGACTCTGAAGCGAGCGTTGTCATTATTTCAGCATGATATCGCGTGAGACTCATTAATACTTATTAGTAACTTCGGTGAATAAGCACGTGCGAAGTCTTAATAAGTCGTATCGCGTCCTAGGAAATTATCAATACTTTCCTTCATGCTCGCTATGGCGTGTCGGAATTTGGCCGTCAAATCTGAATTTAATTAGAACTTGCTTACGAAGCCATTAGATAATATTTCACAAATCACTTCTCCTTGCGTATTCTTTTTTTTATTATAAGATATATATACTGACTCTCTAAGGAGATTATAAGTTTATAATTAAAAATCTTTTTTCTCTCTTTCTCGTGCTGTAATAATAATTTTATCCTATTAAAACTAATTTTATGTAGAAAGTGAAATAGCGACGTAATTTATGTTATTAATATAAAGAATTAGTTTTAAACTCTTTTTAATAATATAATTACAAGAGTAAAATACAGTTACTACAGATCATCACAAATTTCATAGTTTAAAAGATAAGTAAACGATACAAATAAAATATAAATTAAATTACCAAAGTCCCTTTTTCGTAATACAGAGGTCTGCCCGTTTCCCAGGAGTGTCACGAGACTTACGAGTGCAACGTACTCATTTACCCAGTAATTAGCAAATTATATTTTCAAGTGCCCCGAAGGGAGGTAATTCGCGGAAGTTGCGTGCACGAAGGTTTAAAAAAAGAGGAGCGCCTCGCGTTTCTCTCGATGACGCTACGGTCGAATAATTTTCACCGTGAAGTTTTTTTTCACGGGAAGAGGAACCTACATCTTTCTACGTTCGAGCTACGTTCCGATGCCGAAATCGTTGAGGGTGCCGACCTTGGCACGAAAAGCATCGCGTCTCTTTTGAGACGGAGCGATTAGAAGCTCGCGTGCTCGGTTTCTGCGCGCCTCACCCTCCCGACGCTCTTATCGGCGCCATATCCCTCTATCATTTGGCGCACGTTCCTCATCCATTTCTCGATCCCCATCAAATACAGTCTTATCTATTCATAAATGTCACTCTTAATCCAAATGACATTTTACACGGTGCAGCATTCCGTAATTGTTTCTCCATACTCCTGAAATATGCATGGCTATCTTCTCGATCATTTAATTTCTCTTGTGGTTAATATCACATTTCGCTTGGAGTAATTAAAAAAGCTCAAATTTCCTTTCAGACATTAAAACCCTTTCTCTAACATTTTCCATATATGTAATTTCAATGTATAATTTATTACAAACTTAAGTGTATTATTTCAATTTTATTTTTTAAAACAGATTTCCTCTCTTCGGAAGTTCTAAGAGATTCAGTGCATGTACCGTGAACATATAATAGCGTGTTAAAAATGAAATCCGTTCGATTTCGCATCTTTCGTGAAACGCCAATGGAAACGGCGCGACTAATGACAGATAAGACTTGATCGGCGTTCGAGCTTTCGAGTTACGTATGCCGTAACGTAGTGGCTGCCAGAACGACGGGTTCTCATGCGGTACGGTCAATCAATGTCAGAAGGCACGCACGGCTGAAAGTCAATCAGATGGAGCTTTCGCCTGGCGCTGATCACTGACGTTCCCTCGATGGAGTTACGGCGGCCGAAACGACGCCTGGCGTTTATAAATCAGCGTTACGCGCATCGGATGAGATATCGATCTCGATGTCGAATTGGAGGTCGAGAGTCGGTCTCCCGGCGCATTAAATCCCGGATATTCCTTACGCGAGCCTCGTTAATTAGCAAGTGTACTCGCGGCGCGTCTAAGAGCACACTCCTCCGTTTTTTTGGGTAATTTTAAATATTTATTTCGTCGGGGAGAGAAATACTTACACTAGGTTACTCAAGTAGGATATATCGCATATCCTGCGTTAAATTTAATAATTGATTAAGAAAACAGAATAATAAATTTCTTTCGCCAGTATAGAATAACAATTCAAGTAATTTCTTTCAATGTTCATATCGAAAAGACGTTATTTATTCACGGTCGATTTAAAGAAATTACTTGAATTGATCAAGAAAACATTTACGTACTAATGAAGCTATTACCTTCAAAAAGATTCCAGCTATCATTATAAGAGAGCAGAGAGTCAGTTGTGCGATAACACAGAGAATAATTTTTAAAATGTACGGTATTTATCCGGTTAATATGGGATTAAACGACATTATAGGTGACCACGTGTTCATTCACTCGAGACACGTGCTTTAAGCACCGATGAAACGTGGTAGCTCCCACTGACGTCATATTATTGAAATTCCAGCTGCAATATATGACACCGCAACTAATCTTTCGTCGCGATAGTGTTTCGCCGCTTTGATTAATCAGCTGCTCTTATCATGCCTGCGGTGACGGCGAGGTTGCTGACGGACAAAGGATCGTCCGCGTAAACGAAAACGTCCACCTCAAGAAAATGTCTCACGTAAAATTTGTTGCGCGCAACGAGATCTGCTTTTTTCTCTCCTCTCTCTCTCTCTCTCTCTCTCTCTCTCTGTGACAAACGGCGATCGTTCTTCCGGCCATTGATCATCCGAACGGTGGACCGGGGGACAGATGCACGAGCGTCGTATTTTACAGCATCCGATATTGTCCCATACGGCCTGCTCGCGTCGACTCCGACGGAAGCTTTCACGGGAGCGACGCAATTGTTTGGATATGAAACGGTCTATTCAGGGGAAGAGAGAGCAAACACGGCGGAATCGAGCGACGAAAACTCGATAACTGGGGCGATAACTCCGGCGCCCATTTACCATAGTCGGCTCGTGCCAGTTTCGTCCATCCATACGTAACGAGGCGAAATCTCGAGGTCTCTTATATATACATTGGTCGTGTTAACTGTCGTTGCTCTCTCTCTCTCTCTCTCTCTCACGAGAGAGAATCCCCGTCCCAATAAGCTACGCGTAATTGTCGCCAGTTATACTGACCGTGCTTGGCGATTTAGAATTAAACGACCTTTAGGAAAGATATAATCACGTGTTCTTTCTAGCGATTTTTTTTTACAGTCGAACTTTAAACGCATATTTGTAAAACTACTTAAAATTCTATTTAAAACTAACTTTAAGCGCATTTTTTTGTAATTCTCTTAAAATTATTTAAAATTCTATTTAAAACTCCGTCAGTAGCTATCGGTTATCGAGGTTCATTGAAGTCGGAGAAGAAGAAGTGAAAGAAGACTTAGAATATTGATGAAGGAATTTTGGACGTAGCTTACTGCTAAAACTTCTCCTTTATCACATGCTTTCGTCATTCAAAGCCGGTATCTCCGAAAATGTCGAAGAAGATCGATAAGCCGGTGTACATTGGAAAGTTCAAAATATTGGCCGACAGCCAGAAGCTACACGATGACAGGATAATATCGTGCGCTGTTACGACGCCGAAATAACCGCGCGCGCGTTCGGGAGATGAAAGCGCAATTTTATACGGGTACCGTGAAGTTAGATTTAGCGTCGAAATCGTCTCGCTCGCTTTTCACCACGGATTTGGAGAGTAATTTCCGCCAACCGTGAAGTTAACGGCGCGCCGGCGAGTATGAAGGAAAAAAGAGATGGGGACAATTTGATCCGCGAAACGCGCTCTCGTCGGAAGAATTGCAGCATTTGTCTGATTAGAAACCCCGAAAAGGTATACGAATGAAAAAGAAAATTTCTCCTTTTCGAAGGTACGCGCGTCTATTCTGGAAGAACAACCTCTCAAAGAACTCACAATATATTTATTTAAATACCAATTTATTAAATGCCAATTAAAATATTCATATAGTATAATAATAAGGAATAAAATAATAAAAGAGATGGAAAATAATGTAATAAATTATGTAAAAATGTAACATGAGAGAGAGAGAGAGAGAGAGAGAGAGAGAGAGAGAGAGAGAGAGAGAGAGAGATGATAAAAAATGATGAAGCTAAAATAATGAAAGGTAAACACATTATTAATTTTGCGACGAAACTGCGAATTCAATCTAGAAAGGAATATATTGCGATAATCAATAGAATTTCTCGATAGAACTTTATTGTCACGTGTTGCTCGTAATTTTCAGCGTATGTGTCGATGAGTCGCGGAACAATAAAAAGAAATGTAGGTTGAAGAAGCGATTCCAGCGCGCTTCGGCGGAAATCACGACGTTTGCGTGACAGGAGAACTGATTCGAGTTCCCGGTGATAAAAGTGTGTCTCCCAGTGAGTGCGTTTTAATTTATATATTACAGCCTCCGCAGTGCGCCGTTAGGTTTCTCGGTCGAGCATAAATCTCGTCCGGGAAAAGAACCTAAACGAATGGCTATCTGTCGGTCCTATTGATAGAATGCTCTTTTCCTTTCATTGAATTTTACGATCTCTTGAATTATGAACTTCGAAGCACAGAGAAAGGAAAAGTAATTTGAAAATAAATTCCTGATAATTATCGGAGTTCTTTTCTCTCTCTCTCCCTCTCTCTCTCTCTCTCTCTCTCTCTCTCTCGTCTTACATCGAATCTCGCCGTTTCGAGATCGTATTATTATTCCGAGTCATAAAGCGGACTTTCGAATAGCACTTTTTCCAGCCTATCACGGAGACCCGACCTTCGACGATGGTAGGTGGTCGTAGGGTGAAGCATGCGGCGAGCAATGAAACCACCACCACGTCCATGGTCACCGGCGGCGTTACCAATAGGAGCGACAACGTCGTTGTCTCCACTGTACAGCCGACCACCACTCAGCAAGTAAGCTTCTATCTATCTATCTATCTCTCTCACTCTCTCCTTCGTCGTGCATCCTCGTTTTCATTACGTCGACGCGCGTATCACGTCGACGTCGACGGGTCGGTCGCGCGACGTCTCGCGGCCTCCGGAGAGCGAAGAGCGCGGTAGTCTATCTCGCGGGATGCGCGACTCCTCCGCAAAGTGTCGCCGCGCGATATCGGACTCTCTCTCGCGCATTCAACGGCCCGCGAAGTTAGACACAACATTGTGAGTTGTGAGCGAGGAAAAAAACTGGCTGATAGGCGGTTTGTGCGGTACACGCGGCGACGCGTATAATAAGCTAGACGCCGCGGCGCGGCGTCTTCGAGTGAAACGATCTATTATAGATCGATCCCGAAGTAAATTACTCCAGTTTCGATCAATGTTTGGTGCTTAAACGTAATTACGTATATTTAACGTGAGCGGTATTACTATTTTGAGACATTGTTAAATAAGAAAATTTTCCTCTTGTCGCGAACTTGATATCATACTTTAATGTTATTTAATAATGAATTTCAATGGTTTATATAAATATTCACATAATCGCTAGTTATTATACGCAGTTGTTAAAGATAGCGTAAAAACTTTTCTTTCATTCAAATAGTAATAGTTTATCGTTTGTCTTGGAAATTCTTAAAAACCGCGCGTTACTTAGAATTTAATTTTTAAAGTACTTGCTGTAGTTACAGCGACAATTTTAAAATTCAATCAAAAATATTCTATAATTTTTTCATAGAAATTTTCTTATTGCGCAACGAAAACGCTCGTGAACGTATAAGGAAAACGTGAAATGTGACTCGTATATTCGTGCCTTAATAACGCGTGTGTGTACATACGTGCGCACACGAGGCACCGACCGACGCCGCGAGAGCTTAACTGACATATAAATAGCGCGTTTAAAGAGAGCCGGCTAGAACTTTCCCGCGTGTACGTCTTGCGAACTCGTCAGGAAGGCACGAGTCGCTTTCCGAGGAGGATCGTGCGACTGGAGCGGGTCCAGCGAGCGGATTAGCTGACGCGTGATCGAGGGACGTCACAGATCTCGTGAGAGACCTGTGGACCTTTGTTTGACCTTTCGGAGTGCGTGTAATTCGTTAATCTTTTCTTCGGTATTTGCGACGGTATTCGGTGAATAATTCGTGTTGTGAGTGAATAAATTCCTAATATGAACGCGAACTTGGAGTCTCTATTAACACGGATCACTTATTATGATACGCGTAATTCGTAAATATAACGTCGGTATTCATTACGTGCGAAGAGAAATTCTGAGCGAACCAAATTGTGCACAACCTTTATAATAGATATCAAGAGAGGAGTTAGATAATGGAGTTTTTGAATTATTTACGCTCAATTTGCAAAGCCTGTTACTAAACAACCCATGTATTATCTAACTCCTCTCTTAATATCTAATTCGAAAATTGATATATATTAATTTGGTCAGTAGGGTCGAACTAAAACGACTGCTGTTTATTATCAAAGTCATGATTTTGTTAGATTATGTAAAACTAAAATCTTAAAAACTTAGACACAAATTATTTTAATCTTCTTGATAATGAAAGATTTGGAACCTCAAGTTCCATGATAAACAAAAATAAAGTTTATTGGGTAAATTACTGAGTTTACGGATAATCGGGCCGAGTTCTGATCAAGCGAAGTGCGAGGCAGTCGAGGCACCGGTTAATATGTGAATTTCAGTTTCTCTCTCGAGACTAATTTCCGTCGTTTCGTGCGTTTCGGCAGAAAGTCCGGCGGATCTTCGAGGAGCAGGCCAGGTGGCAAGAAAGCGGCCCACGCAGACGCGTGAAATGCACATCATCGGGCACTGCCTATTGCGTAGTTAACAACTACAGCATCGTCGCCTCTAGGGGCGAACTTGCTCGAAATAACCGCGCCGCGAGTGAAACGACGACGACGACCAGCGTCATTACCAAGAGACGAGCGTCGTCGATCGTAAACGGGAGAATCCACAAGGAGGAGACCGCTCGGAGCGGCATCCTCGCCTCAGAGGAGTCGAGGAAACCGAAGGACGTGCCGAAGGACTCAGCGAGACCGGGAATCTCAAGGGGCATCCAACGAGGTATAATCAAGTCCGCTTCCGTGCCGAAGGATTTGAAGGAAGGTGCGTTGCATAATTTCTAAACTCTCAAATTATACGTCGCCTATTACTCATTAATCTGCTTTATACCCTTTAGTTATTAGTTTTATAACCTCTTTTTATTTTTTTTAAATCAAAATATAATTTTTTTATAAGAGAAACTCCAACTAATGAGTATCGGTAGACTTTTAATAAATGCACCAATTTTTGCACGGTTATTTTTTATGGTAATATATATCATTTACGTTTTTTGGATAAGCATCGTAAATGTTCGTTCATTCAGGTTGGAAGGAGAGATTATCGTCATCAGCTGTTCTAAATACGTGCCGAAAGCTGCGATAAAATTATTTTCGACGGAAAAGTTAATTTCCTGTACTATCTATATCTCTCTAATGACTACTTGGCTGTGGAAATGCTGACGTGCATGCCGTGATAATTTGTATTTTCGCCCTATTCGCCGCACGCGTTACCTGACGCGAAACAACAATATCTAATGAAAATCACGTATCTTGTAGCTTCTGAATTCTCTATTAGAATCGTAAATGAAACCACACGAGTTATGTAAACACGGTGAACCGGTTTTCGACACGAGACTATAAACAGAACATACTATATTAATTAAAAACTAACAAAATAAGTGTTTCGTTCGATATGAAACAAATCAAGTTAATTATAGTAATCTCTTACTGGAGGATCCAGTAATTCGTTTCAAAGTGAAAGGGGACACCTTTCTATTTATATGATCTAATTTTCTAAGACTCGCGTTTCGTGCACGTCGCAACTTGTCAGCTCAGGCTGGAGCGAAACAAAATAAATGTTTACTTTCGGCCCACGTCGATTCTAACGACGCGCGAAGTTCTGTAAGCACACGCGACGCGATCTACCCCACGATCTGCTTACTTAATATTTTTTATGACAATCAACGATGACGCGAACATCTGCATGCCGCTAAACGGTACCTATTTAAGCCTGCGCTTGCAAGCTGCTGAGGGTACTGCGAGACATCTTGGATAAGAAATAACAGTGGCTATAAATATAGTGCCGTGACTCCGCAGGTCTTCCAGTGAGGGAAAGAACGTTACAACGGGTACCGGAGGAGGGCATCCTGAAGAGGTCTTCCGCCTTCCTGGCGAGCCTAGCGCATCATCATCATCATCATCATCATCCCTCCAGCAAACTCGCCGAGAGGAATTCGCCGGACGACGAGTTAGCTAAGTTTCTCAGGCCGTCGGACGGCTACGAGCTTCGCGGTTCATCCTCGAGATACGCCGGCCCGAAGGGCTATTTCTCGATCTTGACAAACGACGACGACGACGCTGGACTGTGCGCTCTGCGGCCGTCGTCTAGCGCCCAAACGTTATCGACGAGCTTGAAGAAGAAGGGCGTCGGAGTGAAGAAGTCGGTCTCTTTCAGCTCCGATACCAGCTTCGAGGAAAAACGCGCGCCATACCGGAAGCCTGCCGTCCACGAAGCCAAGGTCTATCGCAAAGGCGTGCTTCAAGGTGAGTTCTGCATTACGTGATGTTTCGCTTGATGACGATTTCGCAAATTTTACACACGATAAAATCAATGTTACAGATAAAATCTTTAACTTACTAATAATAAGAGAATATAAGGTTGTCAAGAATCTAAGCTTGGACCGTATGGCTTTGATTCTAATTTGATTGTTTAACTTACTAATTGTAAGTTTTTTAACTTTGACTTTTTTAACTTTATCTTACTAAATTTTTACTATAAATAAAACAACTGTACTTTGTTTTGATAAATAGTTAAATGAAGATTTCATTAGATATTAATTCAAATTAAGTTGTTCCTTTTCGCTGCTTTATAAATTTTTTAAATAAAAAATAAATTAGTTACTTGAAATCCAATATTACCTTACGTAGCAACGCGATGCAAGATTTTTGGATCATCGCGCTTTTACGCGAGAGACGTTTATTTGCCGACGAGTTTTTATTTGCACAAACTTTTCGCGCTGACATGTACCAACGTCATTTATTAGTGTCGACAAATTGATTCCGACGTGTGACATCACTGATAAAAAGCACCTGATAAGAGAACAACGTTTAAATCTCGATAAATGTTTGTTTCACACTAAAACCTGAAGGTATGTCTTTGATTAATGTGAAAATTGTCGACTAAAAATTCACACAGTAACGTCGCTTTAACGAATTGGAATTTAACAAATTGCGGACACAAAATCGATGAGCAATATATGATCTTCTTTTACGTAAAATAAATGCCGAATAATTTAATACAACGAAAGAGTTCATCTAAAAATATCACAAACTATTAAGCTTGTAATTTATGATCGTGTAATTTATCAATTTCAAAGTATATAGTCTATCGCATAAAATTGGTGTATTATTCAATAATAAACTGTGATATATTGGACAGTTACAATTGCGCAAGTAAGCTAATAATTTATTGCGCAAGTAAGCTAATAATTTATTCGTGATTAGCTTTGAAATATTCAAACAAATATAAATCTTGCAGACCACATACGCAAAGAGACGATCAAACCAAAAGTGCCGCCTTCGTGGGAAATACCCTCTGGGGGCCCTACGGCCCTTCTGAGGGCCGCCAGAGAGGCGGACGACACCGGTCTAAAAGAAATTGTCGCGCAGGCGCGGAAAGTAGGCCTGAAAGGTATGGACGTCAACGTGGTCGACAGCAGCGGGAGAGTGAGTACAAAATTTTCTAATTAATTGAATTAGTCTCTAATTGCGCTCCGTAATATAAAAATAGCTTTACAACATTCTCCCTGTCGTTTACTCTCTTAACGCATATAATGTGCGATGCAGGGTGATACGTTTGCGTGTGCTGTGAAAAAATGTGTCTAGGTAAAATTATAAAAAATTCAATAGTGCCGCATTATTTGTGGATCGATGGAAAGGAACAGGGAGAAAGCGTGGAAAAAATATAGAAAACGAAAAAATGTACAAAGAACTATTAAACGCGCTGCATAATGATTGATTTAACGAATCACGAATTATTTCATCTTTGGATCGGCCTCTGTCTGTCAATCCTATTTGAGATTTCCTTCGAAACTGCATCCTCGGAATGCCAGATCGTGTTTGAGCAAAATGGCTTACGCTAAACGAATTCGACGGATTGGAAAGCCGGCGGCGATCCGTAATTAACAGCGCGCGATTCGCGATCGATGAAAGTGCAATTAAGGCCGAACGAGTCGCGCGCGACGGCAGGAAACAAATTTCGACTCTTCGAATGGGTCTATTTTTAAATCACTCGAGACTGGGATTCCGCCGATTCGAGGCGCGTGAGTTTCGCTTCTCGCGAGCGTTATGCAAAAATGTATATTACGGCAACTACGGCAACCATCTGCGGGCCGATCGACGATTGATTACGGACGATCGGGAGTTAACAGCGGTGCGAAGTTTCGCGAGATGAACAATTTATTACTCTTCTCACGCGTATTACTCTGTTCGTTTCGTTACTTCGATAAAATTAGGAGATAACTATTAATATAAAAGATTTATTATTACAGAAAGATGAAGTACTAAAACACGATTTAATACACATTCGTGAATAGTTTATAACATGAGTAAACAATGTCATATGACTCCTTTGTCGCTTCAAGCGTTTTTCTAAGATCTCTCTGTTAACCTAATGAAAATTTTTAGTACCTATGTTTCGTGCTGCTTCGTACTACGGTGCATCTCGATCAGATAATCGGCGTAACTGGCATAGTGGAGAACTTTTCTAATTGCTGACGAAACTCTGTATATAATTATACCAGGCTGTTTTCCGGCCAGCCAGCGTGTAAATTAAGCGGCAGGATCGATTCGACGAAACGGATTCGACCGCCAGTCCGTCGCGGATGTCGGCAAAAATTCCACGCTCACGGCTCACGGCGCTTTCATTACTTAGTACCCACGTGCGATCCCCTCGCGCATGTAGCACTTCGTGGAAAAGTACCGAATTGTGTGCCCGTCGGCACCCAAGCTCTGCCCGCTTCTAACGGCAAGCCGGGTGTAAAATCGCGCCGCGAGAGGTACAAGATTGGTTGCGTTCCGAGGGGAAATATATGTACATGATATCGCTCGGGAAAAATGCTGAAACATATCTCCCCGGTAGATCTGGAATTAATTTTTTAAAAGCTTTATCCGCGGTACGCGGAAATTAAACACACGTTTAGTTAATTTAAGACACTGTATTTTAGAGGTGAGATATATTTTCAAGCTTACCTTCCAATTGAAGCTTGCGATGAAATAAAGATTGACTGGAGGAAAAATATAAAATATTTAAATGCAATGCATTGCTTGTTACAAGTTTATTTCATAGTGTCATTCTAGATATAAAAAATCTGAAAAATAAGCTTGACAAAAGTAAACGCGCGCTGAGTGATGGCAGCTCGTGAAGCGATGTGAGATACCGTAATTAACGTCGTTTCGAAGGACGCTCACGATACGAGAAGTTTAACGTCCCGCGATGGTAACACTGCTTACGTTCATTACTATCGAACGATCGCGTTCGAGGACAAGGCCGTGAATTTCGGAGGAGAGAACGCTGTTGTGCAAAGCCTCGCGTTTTTCGAAACCGCGCGCAATTCGGTGCAAATTGGACACGCGCATCTTTTTCCAAACTGACCGATGCCTCATCCCCGCCTCTCGGGATCGATGCGAAAGCACGTGATCTCGATCCCGCGCGGGTGCCTGCGACCGCATTCCGTATATGCAGCGGTGCCGCGTCGCAATTAAAGTCGGGATCGCGCTCCCGTCTCTTCTCCCGTAGATAGAAATGCGGTCGACCTTCGTGGAGTCGCGGCGGACGCCGCCGCGTCTAAGGTCGGGACGAAGGGAACCTAGATGTAGGTGTCCCGTGTAGTCGTGACGGACAACCCTGAGGCGCCGGTAACATCGCCGCTCACCAAGGCCACGAGATCGCACGTTACGACGCGCACGTCGCGTCAAGACATTGCGCTCGCGATCGATCGTTCGCACGCACCGCGAACTTAAAGCGATCGGTTACGTATCAACCCTGATGCGGCATTAGAGAGATATATGTTTACGATTTTCCTTAAGTGACACGAGACAAACGCCGGCGATGATTCAACGAGGCTGGCGGATCAAAGAATTCGCGCGAGGTCAACACGCTACGTGCAGAAATAACTAAAGCGCTGGAAATTATACAGATTTACTTTAATTTACTCATTACTTGTAACAGAATTGTGTGATTAGTATTTTTCGATTTTATCTAAATAGTTGAACCTAATCCTGAATTATTTATCAGGATTCAGAATTATATATATGGATTGCCTAAATTCAATTATGGCTTTAGGCAATCATGGATTTAGGAATAAAATTTATATGTAATTTTATTTATACCGTCTAATAATAAAGAAAATGATCTCAGTGGCGATCATATGGCGCAGAGAGATGTGCGCTGGTCTAGTGAGCCGGAGGAGTTCAAATCCGACCAAAAATTTCATTTTTTATCGGTTTTTATTCGATTACCACCTTTCGGAAGCGGGGGATGGCAACCTACCGAGAGTATCTTGTCTAGCTTTCTATATTTAGAGAGGGAACCGATCCCCCAGGTTGGGGGTTAGGCAACAATGAAATAAGTCAAACCAATTCCTGATGTAACGATAAGGAGTCCAAAGAAAATTATTTAATATTTTTATAAAACTTTCAAAAAAAGTTCTCACATCGTATCAAATATATCCGTATTATTCCTAGTTTCATTCAATTTTCTGATATTTCCGTCTTTATCTAAATTACGTATGAAGAATTGTACATGTTTCAAGAGATATACAAAATCTAAAATGTGAAATTACAAATAAAATTTTATCCTGAATTTTTTTTACAAATTATTAAGTAATTGTATCCGTTTAAATAGGCGAAGCCTACCTATACAAATATCCCGGAGTATCAAATATGTCATTGAGAAAAGTGTGGACTAGCTGTTTAATCGGCGGCTTCTGTTTCGTTTAAAACGAACGAAATAAAACGCGTGGTGTTTGCCGATTTACAATTCACGCGTCGTCTTCAAGGCAAACGCGTCTTCTCCCGAGCATTTGTTGGCATAGTCTGTGTTTCAACGTCTGTTTGTATATCGGCGGGCGCTGACGCAAGTTAAAGCAATAACGTTCAAACGTCAATAGCCACTTAATAAATTGATTCTTAACGGATAGTCCATTGTCCATCTCGATGTCGGGTGGAGGCAGCCAAACAATGCCGAGAATGAGAACGTCTTCCTACGAGATGTCATACTTCTCAACACAATCGCGATATAAAACGCGATATTCAGTCCCTTTTCAATATATTTACACGCGTCAATGGAACGGTGGTAACAATAGGTGAAACGCGGCATTCAAAGATAAATCCGATTAACACAACTCCTATAGGGGATGTAGCGATTTAGCGCAAGGATCGTTTTCTCGATCGGAAAACAATTTTTGTCCAGTCAGCTGACAACAAGATCAGCGAAAATCAGCGAATCCTAATTTAAAACCCGTTCCCTAATTTAAAACTCATTCCGCGTTCATAGTCATCGGCGTGGATTTAGAGGATTACATCCGCGTATAAATGTGTGCCGCGTGGAAACGCGTGGTTTTTCATGTCACGGTCAAACACGCGTGAAAGAGACATTGACGATAAGGCGCGGAGGCCGAGGGGTGAATAATGTTCCGCTCGAACACGCGAATTTGCGTAATCGGGCGTAAACTTTCGGCGCGGCAAACTAAACCGTGAATTATTTGTTTGCCATTGCAGACGGCCGTAAGTTACATGGCTGGGAACGGCGCGGCGGCGATGCTCGAGCTGGCGCTCTCTTTCGAAGGCGTGGACCCGAATCTGCCCGACAACGAGGGCAACACGCCGCTCCATTTTGCCGCCCAGGCCGGTGAGTGATCGATCACGTATTATGAATATATCAGGTTGCGCGGTTCTGTGAGACCGCGATACGCACGTTGCTGGGAAAATGTGAATGACGCGTTGCGGGAATCCAATATCCCTTTGATCTCTCGCAATTTTCCAGAATCTGGATTTCTGGAATATCCGGTAGTAGAGTCGTGCGAATAATAATGTTAATACAACAATGTCGCTGCATGCATAAATGTTATCGAGATAAAAGCATCTTAGACTTTGTGAGTTAAATGGCTTAAAGAGATGTTCCCTTCTCTTTCGCTCCTTTCTCTTCTTAGTGCTCGAAATATCGTCTTCGATATAACCGATGTTCCAAAAATGAACCCGGCGAAAATACGCAGAATATAGGATGGCCGCGCTTATTCATAGAGAAAGTGACAAGAATAAGCGTTGCATCAATTGGACGCGCGAACATGGGCGATGGAGTAGGCGTCAAAGGTGTGTTTTAGTTTTCGCATAGGAATCTTGAAAATGCGTTTATTCGCGCGAGTGAGTTTAGAACATAATTTACCTCCGTGTTTGCCCCTGTTTCTTTTCCGCTGCGTAATCATCCCCTCTCAGAAGGTGGCAACTGGCCACGTGGCTGCGAAATAACTGTATATACATCCGTCGCAGTCACAGATTAACCATGAACAAAAAAAATAACAGGATAAAGTGCGGAGGATACTTATTTAGATTTATGACGTGACGTTTAGAGTCTTAAATAAAGTGAGAAAATAACGATTGGGGCCGTATATATATTGAAAGCAAATGATTACGAGATTCGTCCTCTTTGCCTACTTTTCTTCCTTTCACATTTCATAACACTAATTTTTTTTTAATTATATAATTCCTTCAATACAGGATAGAAAAATATAATATATTAATTTGCAAAATTCATGAAAAACTGATTTAAAAAATTAATTCGTCAAACTAAATTAGGTAGGTAATCTCTTGTCTGTCGAACGTAAATACTCTAAGACTTTATGATCTCGTTATATTTTTATGCAAGTGGAGATAATATGCAAGGAATAGCAATAATTAAGGTAAATGTACCAATGCCTGGGCACGTACCTATGTCTGGACATTTTTATCATTTTAGTCTTTAAATAAGTTATAACGCAAATTAAAATCAAAGAATCAACGATAAAAATAGTTTTCTTGTATTATATTTCTATCTTTGATTTTAATTCGCGTTATACTTATTTAAAAACTAAAATGATAAAAGTGTCCAGACATAGGTTTTAAGTGTCCCGGCATTGGTACATTTACCTTACCATAAAAAAAAGTTGAAAACGTTATCTTGAGCCCAATGCCAAACCTGCCGGCAGAGTTTTCGCGGCCGGCACGAGGATCCCATCGCGTCACATAATCGCCGAAAATAGCGGGAAGCGTCTCGTGCAACAAACAAGCGCAGCTCCGCGATGACGCGTACCGAAAAATGTTCCGAGCCAAAACACCGCGGGTTATGAAATGTACGAGGGGAAAAACTCGCGAACGCGAAAAAAAACCGGCACCTATGATGTCAGTACATGTTTTCTGTTACGTATCTGCGGATAGGACAGACCGAGTGCCTCAACATCCTTCTGCAGAGGTGTCCGGACATCGAGGTGGACGCTAGAAATACCTTGGGCTTCACGCCGCTCATGAAGGCCGCCCTTCAAGGTAGAACCAAGTGCGCAAAGATTCTTCTGTTCGCTGGTGAGCAAATAGTTCAGTATAAGTCTTATGTATTTGTTATAAATAAAATAATAATGTGATAATCTAAGATCATAATAGTCTAATATATATTACATATAAATATATAATAATAAATATTTTTAATATTATATAAAATATTTTATTACGAAGGACCACAAAATATTTCTTAAAATTTACGCCGTTTGAGAATTATTTTCATTAATTTCTAGGCGCAAATCCTACCTTACGCGATCACGGTAGAGGCTTGAGGGCCGAACAATGGGCGAGGTTTTGCGGCAGGTACGTGTGCGCCGAGATGATCGAGAGATTCGCGAGGCATCGTCTGTTGGAGAGAACGACGTCCTGCCGTTGGGGCAGCGAGCCTGAACTGGCTGCGAAAGTCCTGCAGGGAAAGGTACGTAGCGCGATGTCGAGACCTCCTCCTAATCGGATCTCTTTCGTATGCAAGACATAAATCCTACGCAAACTATGCTAGGTAACGCCTATACCCACGACGCCTATGCCGCAACCCTCCGGATTAAAGTCGAAAATAAAGAAAGTCTTCCGCACCACCTCCAGCCCCGATCGAACCTTCTCTCTGGTCTCGCAACTCACCAGCGCGGCTCTCTGCGCGAGCAGTCCGGCTCTGCCGAAGCCCTCACCTGTTGTAAAAAGTCTTCTGCGGCCATTGAGTGTGCCCCAGTTAAGGTACGATACTGATCGAAGAATTAAAACTTCCTGAGTTTCGATCGATACTTTATAATCGCATTTTTTTTACGATTGCACAACTTTACAATGCTTCTTAGCAAAATTTGAAACGTTTATTAGAAAATTGCAAGCAGTTTAAAAAAATACGTAACATTAAAATGTTAATTTTTTGATATCTTCTTTAAATTACATTTGTCAGATAATAAATAATTCTGATTCTAAGGTAAATGTTAATTCAGACAAGATAAAAGTTTGTGCCATTTTTCAGGGTGACGTTGGTTTCGCAGCAGGACTTCTTGGAGAAGACCTCCGAAAAGTACGGGACGAATTTCACGGACAAGATCGAGAACTCCATCGCGAAGCCACCACGCTCGAAGAAGAAGAGCAAGTAGTCGAACGTAAAGCTTTCGCGGTCACGGGCCGCGTTTAGAACTTCACTTCGCATTGAACACACGCGAGGGGAGATTATTGAAATCTGCTTGACGCTAAAGCAGCAAGACGGACAGAGTGTTTGTGATCCATTCGAGATCATTTACGTGTTATCCGATTCCGCTGTTGCCTGTAACCGGCCGATCGTCGATCCGAAGCCGCGGTCCCTCAAGTAGATCGTAGTTTGTTCGTTTTTACCTCGCCGATAAATATTAGCGATGCATTTCACCCGGAGGACGTTCGCGGAGATCGAAAGGGAGGAAACCTTCGATACTCGATCGCTCCCGCTAAATCACGATTTCCAAGTCGACGGCTGCTGTTGAAGTGTTGTCATGTTTACGGTCCGCGTACTCGAGATTGTTTTCGATGTAAACCGCCGCCGCGGCCGGACGTATAAACATTCGGAACGGTCGAATTTTATTTTTAGTTTGAACTCATAATGGATCGTACGACGTGTGGCGGGACGAGGCGCGGCACGGCGCGCGAGCGCGGTTTACAGGAGATCGTAAAATCACGATCGAAAGATCACGTTGAAGGAGCGTGATGTTCCTCCCGTTGAATGGAATCTCGATTTTTCTTTCCAGGAAACGTGAATGTGTAACTTTAAACAGGCGCCGAAGCAAAGCCTCGGGGGTTTTTATAGATTAAAGTGTTAAAAATGATCGAACGGGCTTGCGATCAATCTATGTCGCAGGTCTCTCTCTCTCTCTAACTTATAATACGCGTTTTACGTACAAGATTTTATATCGATGCAGTTGCTGTCAGATGGTTATTTAAATAAATGTCTTATTAATTAACAATTTGTCTTTTGATTATGGACGATTGAGATACAGAGTTCGGCGTATGCGGAGATTCTTTTGTTCTTTATTAATCCCTCGAATCACAAGCACGCACGGCTCAGCTCTCGGAACGGCGATTCCGTCGTTTCCGGCGATTCTTAGCCTGAGACAGGATCTCGTACGCCTGCTGAATCTCCATAAATTTTTCCTGAGCCATGCGCCTTTCTTCGTCCGAACCTTTAACTTTGTCGGGATGATTGTCCCTGGATAGAGTTCGCCATCGCGCCGTGACTTCGTTCTGTGAAGCGGTTTGCGAGAGACCCAGGACCTGCGGAGGATGAGCGAGCGTTAGTGTAAACTACATTTTTTTTTTTTTAAGTAAATTCAAATTTAATAAAATTTTGCGAACGCCGGCCGACCTTGTAAGCGTTTATCTCGCCTCGAGGATCCGTAAGGTCCACCAGTTGCGCCCACGTTGCCCAGAAGCCTTGATGCTTGGCCTGGTTCCATGTGGCCTCTAGACTCGCCTGTAACAAAAAAAATATTAGTATAAAAAATCTTTTAAGTTTCTTAAAATACAACGCTCTAAAAATTTAACGACCGCGTATACTCACCTTAAGATCCGTCCAGATGGGCGAGGTGAGGAAGTGTCGCACTGCCTCCGACAACTTTATCTCCTCGCCTTCGCTGTCCGTGACAACCGCATTGAAGTACAAGTAACTGCCGATGATAGCGAAGAAGAGCATGAGTGCCAAGCCTAAATACGCCATTCGCCGGATGAAGCTTTTTCGTTTCTTCGGTTTCAGCCGCCATTGCTTGCTGAAGGTGTCGAAGCTCAGGCTCGAGGCGATCACCATGACGAAAATCCACATGGTATCGTCCCCGATGTAATACAAGGTTGGATAAAACAGATACGCTGTGGCAAGCGTTATCCATATCGAACCTTGTTCTCTGCCGATATTTCCGACTGTCCATACACCTTTTGAAGTATTAAAACTGAATAAAGGCTTTCGTAAAATGTCTGTGCTTCTAAAATATCCATTTTCTAATTATTTGCATACGTATATAAATAATAATATATATATAATTATATATATATAAATTTTATAAATAATAAATATATTGTATAATTTATTTTTTTATAATTTATATTTATTTTTATATATTATAATTTAATTATTCATATTACCGTAATATTGATATTCTAAGAATGTAAAGAAAATCTGATTAAGAAATTCTAGATTAAAAAAGCCCTGAAATCGAAGGTAGAATACACTCTGTGTAATCAGACTTGTCAAGAAGCAGGCAAAAAAATCCCTGATATCAGCTTTTCCATAGTTCTTTCCATTTATCACGGATAATGTGTTATTTTAACTATCGATATGAGTCACACGTGACCTTAAAGCATTATCTTTCGGAGGAACCTAACACGCGAGAGCGATAAGAAAATACACGTCGTAAGAATTTGACGAGTTTTCGAGTTTTCTTTTTTCTTTCTAATACGATTCTTACCTAGCGCGATCACGGCCGGTACTAAAATCAGCAAGTGCCTGAAATTAATGCCGTACAATTCCTCCTGCGGAATCGCGCTGTTGAACAGCTCGGCCCATAAGTAGGCAACCGCCGCTTCCGCTGCAAATCGTGTCCCGGCAAACGGCGGCTGTAAAAAATAAAAATAAATAAATAAATCCGATTTCGTCGTCCATTTACAAAATCGTCAGTCGCATTTGCTTCGCCAACGTTCCTTCCATTTAACATCTTTTCCGCAAGACATCGGCAAATAATTTGCGGTTCAATATTTACGTGGGACGCATATAAACGTGCAACATCATCAGTTCTTCGAATAACAACGATGCGGAACAAGGCGCAGCGTGAGCTTGGCGTTAATAAATGTATTTCAAGACTGGCGACGTCAATCGCTTATTCTAAGCCTGCGTTGCGGATTCTACACACGCGCCGAATTATTTATTTACCTTTCGATTAGCTCTGACTTTTCGCTTGAAATCCTCGATGAATGCCGGATCGTCATTCGCTTCGGCCACGTAAGCAGGTATCCTGTAAATGTCCCTGAGAAAACCGCAGCCCACGTAACCGCCGAACGTGGTGATGTATACGAAAGCCTGATCGTCCCTGCCGAGGTACACGTGATGCGCCCCGAAGAGTCCACCGAACAGCCAGAAAAAATAAGCCCAGAACTTGCTTTTCTTCGCACTTTTGTGCTCACCCTCAACGCTCAATCCATTTTCCTTCGCTTTTTCCATTATGTTAGCTTCTGGAGCAACAGGTCACCAACTATCCATTTTGATCCACTATTGATCGATCGCGTGGATGGTTCGTCGTGGTCGTAAATTTTACGCACGTGGTAGGAATTTTACGTGTCCTATCCGGATTGTCGCTATCTACGCATCTTCGCGGAGCAAAATAATAGTTTACGCGCAATAATTCTTTACTGTTTTTCTTTTTTTAAACTCAAGTACACTTGTCGGTGGTGTATCGTGGAATGACGGTCATGGTTCCACTGCACCGGTTTCTGGTTCAACGCTCCGCGTCAGGTAACGGTATCAGTTCAGGGACGTAACAAGCAGAAATACGTGTTGTTCGCGCGCGTATGCCGCGTATGAGTGGGAAGGGGGAAAAGTGGGTGAGAGACTTCTTTTTCTCCTTCTTCTTTTATTAATAAATGGTTAACATGCATCCGCTCAATAATCACGGCCAGGACGACCCAATTGACTTTTGCCGCGTAGCTGCGTAATTTATCCAAAATAGCAAGCCATGGGTGGCTTTTACACAATAAGGTAATAAGTTATGATAACGATGCAGACAAAGAAAGTCGTAATACTTAAGAAAAATTCTCTTCGGAAAAAAACACGTTCGACCACGTTCGAGCTCGCCAACCAACTCAGGAGTCAGGCCCTACTAGACTCTAGAGTCTACTAGTCTAGACCCAACAGCAAAGGACCGAAGCACCCATCCGAACCCCGAACTGACCAATGCCGAACAATTGACGATTCACTCTAAATCACTTCCGACAAACGAATGGCAACGCGCCGTAAATCCCGTAGAGAAGAATACGCCAGGAATGATGAACCCTTAGGCGAAGTCGTTGGGATGAAACACCATCGAATCAAACGCATATATATATAATATTTTATTATATTTTGGAACATTTGTATATAATCTCGAACAAATATATATTAATAAAAAAAATTGAGTAATCCAGCAATTACTGGAAGGAAAACATAAAATAGCAAATTCAGAAAATGTTTTTAATTTATGAAACTTATAAAAGTATTTATATATTTTATATATAGTCTTTATTAACCATATTTATTATACAATATAATTACGCGGTTTGTCATGTCAGGCATTATGTTAACAATTCCTTTTAAGATATCTAAAATAATGAGTTTGCGCTAATCATCATAAGATCATCAATCATATTATATTCCGTAAAGTAAATAACGGAAAGAAACTTTTGTATAACGTTGTTTAAAAATATTCAATTTTTTCGCAGAAGTTATTCGTTTGCCGGCAATCTTGATTATTTAAGACATTAAATGTTATTATTTTGACTATATATTTACGATCTTGAAACATTATTGGTTGCATTTGGTCTCGAGTGTTCACTGATGTTTGTGATCTCTTTTTGTAAATCCTATACAATGATATTGCCGATATCGGTGATAAAAATGTCATGTATCATTTTTCAACCATATGAAATTCAATTCGCGAATGAACACGGTAGCGCCATCTCTTGGTGTGACTGTGAACGCATTTCCAAATGATATTTTTATTTCCACATACATTATAATTTATATTATAGAAGTCATTTCATATTCAATTACACACAAGTAATATAATATTATCAAATTATCAAATATTTGATAATATCGATATTTAGCAATATGTGTAAACGCTAAATTTAGCAAAGAACTATGGTCCCTAAATTACAAAATTAATACAGAATTTAAAAACTCATGCACCAAGTGTCGATGTCACAAGTAATATTCTTCGATTAACTTTTATATAATTCTTCAGCATCTTTCCGTTTCAGGATGTGTACCGACGATCACATCATTGATATTGTTTGGAGATCAATATGGCGTCAGACATCGTCGGACTTCGGACATCGTCGTACAACACCAATGTTGATGGTCGGCCGCCGGCTCATTTCAACGTGATCATCTTTGAGTGCTTCGTATGTTGTCGATCGTACTTCGTGCTGTTCCTGAGGATGGAAGAGGATCGTTCGATAAAGCTCGCTCATAAGGAATGGCGTCGCATCGCGAAGAAGGAGCGTCGCAGGCGTATACGACGGTCAATCGCACAGGAACGTGATGCCAATAAAGAACGTTTGAGGGCAGCACTCGAAAACAATATGGCATATTTGAATTTCTGCGCGGAAGAAGAAAAGCAGAGGCAAGATAAAGAAGCGCAGGAACAAAAGGAACGTGCGGAACGAGAGAGGCTCTGGCTGGAAGAAGAAGTAAATATAATAGTTGTCTTATATCAATTACATATTTTCTTAGCCGAGAATTTTTTTATTGGCCTCTATAATCTTTTCTTATACCTTCTTCGTGTTCAATTTCTAACATCTTGATAATTAAATTTCTGTTATAATAAATATAATTCATTTAGATTCAATGATGAATATTCTATTTGCATATTTTGGAATTAGGTTAGCTAAAAAGATATAGATCTGTATATGTTTTTATTTTTTATACAATATACCTGAATAACATAATGCATGGCAATCGATATAACATCGATTGTACGTTTATAATCATTATCTGAAATTCTGAATCATGCATATAATTTTACCAAATCGCAAAACATTTATTTCTTCAACATGTAAAAATAATACAAGAATAATTTATATTTATAAAATAAGTAATATAAAACAGAATAAAAAATATAGAAAAGTATTATTTTTGCAAATTTTAAATAAAGTATTAATTTAGTAAGCTTGTACTTCGAATAATTGACTAATGTTTTTAATTGTCCAGATAAGAGCACAGAAAAAGTGGCAAGTTCTTCAGGAACAGATAGCGAAGGAAGAGCAGGAGAAACATGAGCAAGAGATGAAGATACGCGAAGAATTCGAGGCAAAGCGTGCGGCATTTTTAAAGAAAAAAGAGGAGGAAAGGAAACAGCACGAGGAGCAACTTCGTAAACAAGAACAATTGCAGAAGGAGATCGACGATTACATCGATAACGGAGTAAAAACGCCCGAAGCTTTGCGCGAGGTCGTCGACAATCAGCCTACCAAGATACTCTGTCCATTTTTTACGAAAACAGGTGCTTGCCGGTTAGTATAGATAGAGATATTTACACATGATATGATAATATTATGATTTGTTAATCATTCATAACAATTCTGAATATATTGAAGCGATAAGAATGACTTATTTATTGTGTCTTTTGCAAGATTCAAAAATTTTTCGCTTGAAGCTAAAAATTGTTGAAAATTATTAAATTAAAATTAAACTGAACTAAATCAAAATAAATTGGGATTTAGGATTGAAATTTTTATCCAAACTAAAATCAACTTTAGTCAAAATTGTATTTTTATCTTTATTTTCAAAACCCATATTTATCCGTAATTGATTTTTATTTCAGGTATGGAAACGCGTGCTCCAAGAATCATCGTAAAATCTTTTTGAGCAAAGTGATCATGATACCCGGATTTTATTCACACTTTTCTCTCGAGAAGAATTCAGCGGAATACGACACCGACGTGGCGCTCGAGTTCGAGAGTTCAGAAATGTTGCGTCACTATCACGAGTTTTATGAGGATGTGATAGGCGAATTGGAGTCGTTTGGCAGGATTAAGACCCTTAAGTGTTGCCGCAATAGGGAGATTCATTTGCGCGGTAATTTGTACGTTGAATATTACACGGAGAGAGAGGCGGCTAGAGCTTGGAGGAACCTGAAGGGACGTTGGTACGGCGGCAAGCAACTCAACTGCGAGTTCGTCAACATGATATCCTGGAGAAATGCCGTTTGCGGCATACTCGAGTGCCCGAAGGGCAGTAAATTCTGCAATTTTCTTCACACCCTCAAAAATCCGCACAGCAGGTACAACATCAAGAGTTCCCGACGGCCAAAGAACAAACCACAAGACTCGAATAACAGCAAGCGAAGCGAACATAGGTTTGTGTTATTATTTACTCTGTACTAGATATCAAAATCATATCTTGTAGACAAAACTTTCATCTTTATCACATCTTATATCATGAAGATAAGGCCGTCTTGTTGATAGAGTTTTTAACTTAACGCGATGCAGAATAATAATTGCGAAAAGATACCGTTAATGTAACAAAACGGATTAAAAAATAAATTGAATGCAAAATAAATTGAATGTCGTTATTTAATTCTATTTTCATTTATTTGTTAGAAGTAAATCCGAATGGGAAGAATCCGATCGAGATGACGGCGAGAAAGATCGCAACTGGAGATGGTCCAAATCGCCCGAGACTGACTTGGATCGCACGAAAGATTCAGAGACGGAACATCCCCATTCCACGAAACGGAAACAATCGCAAAGATCGTCGAGCGATCAAAAACAGAGGAGAAGTGTAAAATCAAGCGTGAGAAGTTCTAAGATCAAAATATCGTCTAAGAAGAAGGGTTACCGATCAGATCGTAAGAGACCTCGTGACAACGAAGATCAGAATAAGGAAGACGCGTCCAACGGTCGCTCTCCTAAAAGGCGTAAAAAGAAATCTCGAAAGAAAGACAAGAAAAGTAAAAAGTCATTAGAAGAAAACACTAAAAAATCAGACGAGATGTAGATCCGAAAGGAAGAAGTATTTAAAGAGATGTTCCTGAAAAAAGAATCCAAAGCTTTTATGCAGGCTGTAAAGATGAGTCGAGCGGCTGTAATCCTAATACCTAAAAGATAATTTTATCGAAGCGATGATCTCAAATAAACAAAAGGATAATTTTTTATATCATTGCTATCGTTGAATAATGAAGTATTTTTTTACGTAACTATTACGATTCTGTTTGTACAATAGTTCTGACTGAACTGATTCAGTTCCATCTACGAGATGTTGTAGATAAAATATTTTTGTTTGAAATATATGTTACGTAAATCGTGTACTTACTCGTGACACCTCTTATCGCGATATCGATAAGGATACACATCCGTGTTTGCCAAGCAATCAGACGTTTTAATCGATAGACATTCCGTAATCATCGGATTATTTTCGCTCGCAGTTATTTTAATCAAAGTATATTGTTTTCCATTTCCCGTAATAAAAGTAATGCAATAAATGTCGGCATTATCGGTCGTTGATGGGAGATATCGTATCGGTTCGTACCGCTGGTCATGATTGAGGAAAATGGTAAGTATTAATCAGTCACATTTTGGCGTGTATCTAGTGTGCTTTGAAAGATAAACGGAAACGTTCTCTGCTGTACAATTGCAAAGAGAAACAGGTCATGATCGTATTAAGCGTATTGCTTGTTTTGTGCTTGGTCCATCCCCTCGTAAATGGGGTGGGTTTTCGCGGATTCACTTTTCAAGGCTTGGAGGAGCCAAAGCCGTTAAAAGAATATGCTGATATTATAACTGAGGGTTGGATCACCCAACCCCTTGATCATTTCAACCATCGCGACAATCGCACTTGGTCGATGGTAACTATAATTATTATAGTCAGCCAATCTTGCTTTATTTAAAACATTATTTTTTTAAATTAATACTTGTCCATTGTTCTATAGCGTTACAAAGAAAATTCCGCGTTTCTAAAGAAAGGTGGGCCTATTCTGATTATGATCGGTGGGGAATGGGCGATAACGGACGGGTTTTTGCAAACTGGACTGATGTACGAAATCGGCGCGAAATACCACGGCTTGATGTATTACACCGAACATCGATTCTACGGAGAGAGCAAGCCAACGAAGTATATATTCCATAGTTGTTTCATCGTCTGAAATTTAGAGCCGACTTTCTAAACCGATATTGCACGAAACGAATTTAGAGATACTAGCACGGAGAACTTGCAGTACTTGAACGCCGATCAGGCGCTCGCGGATCTTGCTTATTTCATCGAAACGAAAAAGAAGGAAAAGGATTTAGAAAAGAGTATCGTAATAGTATTCGGTGGTTCTTACGCTGGAAACATGGCGGCGTGGGCACGTCTCAAATACCCTCATCTCATCCAAGTATCGTTTTTGCGCTATATTTTTATTTATATATATTTTTATTTTAAAAAATAGCAGAGAAATAAAATAGAAAAGAATATTTTTCACAGGGCGCCTTAGCCAGCAGCGCTCCGATTCAGGCGAAGGCTGATTTTTACGGTAAATTATTTTATCGACAAATATTTTCTAAGAATATCGCTAAGAACGCTTGATTTCATAGAGTACTACGAGGTCGTGACGAAATCGCTCGGCACGCACAGTGAAAAGTGCACTGAGAGTGTTAAAACTGCATTCGCATCGGTAGAGGAATTATTGGCCAAGCAAGAAGGTCCAGATAAGCTTAAATCTTTTTTCAAGTAAGCTTGAAATTCACGCGTGATTTGTTAATTATTTGCAATAAATTAAATTATAATTATTTCCACAACCAAAAATACATATAATTATTTCCAATTAATTATTCTATCTATACATTTTTTCTCTTTATTTTATTATACGACCGCATCGAAGTTAATACTAATTTTATTAATATTAATGGAAAATAATTGTTTATTATTATTAATTTCCAATTACTAATATCGACTTTAGCTTGTGCGACGTGCCTGACGTAAACTCTGCTGGTGATCTTGGTTACTTCTTGAATACGTTGGCGGAGGTACGTGGATTAATGGGCGTTGCTTTATGTGTCTTGCTATTCATTTTTATTTGAACTTTAGCTGTTCGCCGGAATCGTTCAATATGACAATATAGAGAACGGTCAAACGAAAATCGCGGCATTGTGCAACAATATGACGGCGGCGCATTTAGGCAGTCCCCTACAGAGACTGGCGCACGTCTTCTCGACTCAGGACAAGTGTTACGATGTAAATTATAATAATTTCGTAAAGAAGTATCAAGAGATTTCATGGGACTCGCCGGCAGCCACGAGTATCAGTGAGTTGAGATAATTAATAAGAGAATAAATTAAATAGCACATTATATGAGACGCGTTGTACAAGAAGGGATGATTTTTATTGTACAGTGAGACAGTGGTATCATCAGACTTGCACGGAATACGGTTACTATCAGACGACGAGCTCAGATAAATCAATCTTTGGAACGCTGTTTCCGTTAGATTATTACATCAATCTGTGTAACGATTTGTATGGCGATTAGTAAGTACTTAAAAAATGACGACCTAATATCTTTCTCGCTTGAATATTATTTATTTCCATATTCATAATTTGCGCAAATGTGGTGTGCCTGGTACGCACCAAGATATTTCTTCACAACACGTTCTTCAAATGTGAAACGGTTTTTGTCGTACCAAATTATTTGTCGAAAGAAGTATCGAATTTATTTTTAATTGTTTTTAATTGTGGGAAACGATAACGCTGAGCGATTTTAGCTACAGTGAGGAGACATTAGATTCACGGGTGAGAAGGACGAATATAATGTACGGAGGACAGCTACCGGATTTACACAACGTCATTTTCACGAACGGCGATATCGATCCGTGGCATCCGTTGTCGGTGCTCGAGGATTTAAACGCTTCTTCGCCCGCTATTGTCATTAAAGGTAATTAAGCGATGTATTACAATGCATATTAGAACTTCGTATATTTCTAGCACGAGAAGATAATACGATGTATTACTTTAATGAAGGATCTTCGCACTGCCGCGATATGTACAGCGACGTAGACACGGACACGGATGACTTGAAGAAAGCTAGAGCAAGAGTTCGCGACATAATTGGCAAGTGGATTTCCTCATAAATGTTATTGTCGAACTTCTCACGAGTACGTTCGTTGACGATTCTCAGAACAGGAGGAATAAACCAACGAATAAACGGAGCCACGTTTTTGGCTGTTTATTAATTGTAAGGTACTAACAAAAAAAATTATGTACAACGCTTGATATATGTATATGTTCATAGTGCAATTATAAATAATACACATCAAACACACACAGCAATACACAGTTATACTGCATTGCGTATTGTTACGTACATAATACAAAAATAAAATTACATCCTTTAAATACCAGGGCTAACCTAAAGTTCCGTGTGATTTCCAAAGTAAATCTGTAACTCGTGATCCCCCGTGCCGCTTATCTCTAGATAGAAAACGTAAGCAAAGAAGTTTAAGTAAGGATTATTTGAAATATCAATCGACCTCGAGTTTCCTGAAAGAACCGCTTATGCCGCACATCGTGGTGTCGTTGGATCCCACGCTGGAACAACCGAATCCTTGCTTCAATGCGGAAACCGCGCCTTCCCGCGCCTTCTCCGAGTATAGCTCGAGGTAGACATTCATCTTATCATTGTTCACTAATGTCGGTTTCAATTTTATTAATTCATCCCGCCATAGATCTGCATCGAAAAGAAAGTTTAGTTCATTATCTTTTTTTTTTCGTGATGGAGCAACGTATAATGTTCGAAGAGATTGCAATCTAGGTGAATTACCGATCATCTCCTTCATCGGGATAGTACCGCCGTATTCCTTGGGCAACATGCTCACGTCTAGCTTGCTGTTAATTGCGTCCTCGAGGCTCGTGTATAGCTTCACGCGATTCCTGATCTTCTCGGAGATCAACGACATCCCGAAGTCCAGGGCAAATTTCAGGGAGGGATGCGCGTTGATCCCATGGACTTCTTTGTGTCGCATCGGTACGGTGCGCTGGAAGCAAACCATTATTTTTTGTCGTGCTATTTATTTATTATATTATTTATTAGATTATTTTACTATATGTATGTAGGTACATATATACGATTCCCTCTTCGAGATTGCGGAAATCGCGCGATTGAAATACACCGATAAAAACAGACAATCTCCGTATTTCTTGTTTAAAAACGCTGATGATAGAAATTAATTTAAAGTTCTTTTTTTTATACACTATCGTTCCAATTAGATTCATATTTCGGTTCGTATAGAAAAAAAGAAACACGAGTTTTCTTTTTACTAGCACTGTTATCTCCACCTGATCAATCTATCGAGATATCAATTCTATTTGTATATCCGCGTTTAGTCAGAGATGATCTTTGACAGATAATCAGTATTTAAGAAGGAAAAACTTTTAAATAGCTACACTACACAACAGTAAATATTTAAAAGTGCACGTGATATCGTTTCTGTATTATTAATTTTGGCAATTCAATTAATTTATTTTTGATAAACTGATTTTCTTCTTTAGTTTATCATGCATAACTTATTATAGTGACAGTGTTATAAATTAAAAGTGTTATAAATTAAAATAAAATTTAAAATAATGATTTATGTTTATGTATGTTGCTTAATGTTTATATAGACAGTTTATGAGTTCAAAATTTGATTATACATACACAGAACATATAAAAAAGCGATAAACATTTAATTGATAAGGAATCAAGCTTACATTAATTTTTGTATAAGATTTTACATAATTATTTAAAATTGCAAGATTCAAACAAATAGAGATTAAAGATCAAAGTCGTAATTGTACATTCGTATATAAACACACAAGGCAAGCATTCCATTAAGTTTCACAACTCAGCTACTGTTGAGTTTTGTTGCGTGATTGAATTTTTGTGTTTATCATGTACGTGAACAATGATAATAATTAATAGTAATGTCATCGATACGACAAATTTCTCGTCGAGACGAGACGAGACGAGAATCTCATCGAGATTTTCGATATATCTTAATAAAAAATGGATTTTCTTCATCATTGAAACAAACCCTCGCAGTTTTATAGAAAAAGGTAAATAAGGGCCACGTAATACTCAAGAAAGCATACACAACTCGAGGAATAACCCAAAACATAAGTACTTTCTTATACAGTCGTTTATTTTAAACAGTTTATTTATTATAAATACTACGCCAATGTCAGAATTCCATAAGGGAATTTCTCTTATGGCTTTCTTGGCTTCAGATTTTTCTGAAGTTGCAACTCCAAATTAACTGCATAACTTTCAATATTATATGGGTCCCATATTATATGAGTAGTAAATATGTTTAGATTAAGTCATTATTACATTTATTAATAGAAATAAGGATTAATCGGTAGGAAATTTTATTATAGAATTACGAGATTTTTCGAGACGAGACGAGAATTTGACAAAGTCAATATGTCTCGTTTCGACTCGTATCGCGGCATCACTAATAATATGAGTACACAGAAAAAAAAGAAATGTTAAATAAAGACTTATATACTTGTATATAAGTAAGAGTCATAACCTTGAAATCAGATATAAATTGCGTTAAACGAAAAAAACTTGTTTGAATAAAGGTATTTACATAGTTTAATCAAGAAAAAAAGTTGAAATAGAAATTTTTATAAAAAGATTATAGATTCTTGAGTATAAATTATGAAATCTGAATTTATTTTCATGAAATCTGTGAAATTTGAATTTATACTTTATAATTTTTTATTATTATTTATAAGTGATATAAGATTTCGCAATATAATTTCACTCGCGGCATAAGTACAAACCGCAGGTACACTTACTAGGACAAACCACAACGTGAACTAAGCACAGTGTATAATGAGCGAATCAACTCAGCATCGCGAAAAAACCAGTAAAATTGGATTTAATTTTGTAAAACTTTTCTATATGGTTTTTCTAAGAGGATCTTAGTGTTAGGTAAACAATAAAATATTTATGCAAATGTACATATATATTTCTATGACTGATTAATCTGTCAGTGCAATTAACAACTTACGTTTCAACAGTTTGTTAGTATAGAAACTTATTTTCATTTTCCCTGATACTATTTTTCTTGTTTAAAAATAAACTTCATTCTGCCTTTCTTAAAAAGACTCTTGGAATAGAACTTTTAAATAGGCTTTTAACTAGACTCTAATAGACAAAAGTGTCACACTAAAAAACCGGTTTTTATGTTCATATTTTGAGAACGTGATGAAATTTCGTTACGTGACGTCGTCCTTGGTTCAGACTCGCAGCTGAATCAATGCTTCAATGAAACGAAACGCGGTTTTGCGGCAATTTTAAACATAATCAGTTTCTTGATTAAATAAAATATACAGCAAAAATAAAAAATTATTTGTAGAATACATTAGCATAATTGAAATCAAATGAGGTAAATGTCCATGAAGAATTTTAGATGAGATTTTAAAATGACGAAATAATATCAAATATGACGGACGGGCGTAAATATTTAAAGATCTGTATTTGATTTCACAACGTTTAAGTAAATTTATGTAATAGCTGTCCAATTAGAAAGAATTTGCAAGTAAAAAAGCGAATGAGGAATTAATAAGTTTGGATGCTTCCTTTTATTAAATTTGTTGTTAATTTAAATCAAAAAATTTTACTTCACCCATTAATTTTCTACTGTTATACATTCATGAATTGCGCAGTATTTAATCTTACCTCGCCGTTCTTCACGATGCGCACTGCTTCTTTGGGAGTGAAAAGCGTCAGATGAGGGAAACTGACGCCGGCACCATCGGCGAAATGCACGAAGCCACGCACTTGATTCTCCTCATCCTCCATCAATGCCTCGTAAGTGATGGCATGGATCTTACACATATCCACGTTCGTGTATTTGTGAGGATCAAATACGCCTTAAACGGAAATTGCATGTACGAGATTAGTAAGTGGGGCAAACGCGACGGAGGGGAAGCGCGCCGAAAATCATTTCGTATAGACCCAGGTATTTCTCATAACAAAATTACGTCATGAAATATCTTTATTACTTTCTAAAGATTTTTGCTCTTAGCAACGAAATAATTATATGATGAATACTCTATTGCAAGAAAACAAATTAACGGAAAACACCCAGAATTTAGGAATTTGCAATTTTTCAATTATCGTCTTTGTGATTCTACTTCAAAACATACATCTTTACTAGGTCTATATAATAACATTCAAGCGTACATAAAAAGTAACGAATATTTACCTGGTCTAGCGATTATAACACGACGGCCTTTCGCATCGCGACCAGGTGCAGCGAAGAGATATCTGAAAGAAGAGATCACAAACGGAGTTCCAGCGTTAACGGGAATAATAAAAAAAAATACCTACCCCATTGATAGTAATTCCGCCATATTCGTTTCTGTAATGTCCAAATTATGGAATGCCTGTCGATACACCTGACGGAGCAGCAGGTATCTTTCAATGGCCTCCTGAGCCATCGGGACATTAAATTTTTTGCATCGCAAAAATCTTAGTAAGAATCGTGCATCTAATGAAAGACGATAAATTAGCCAAGCGCCCAATTATCGATACATACCGTATGGAATTGCAGGCTCGATACTGCTCGTTAAAATTTCTACAAGGCGAATCCCTTCGAGTCTTACAAAATCGTGAAGTCATTACGGCTATTTAAAGGCACTTAATTACTATTTTAAAGTAACCGCTGTTTAGTTTAAATATGGTTAGTTAAATTATTGCGGTTTTCATAAATGTTAGATTTGGCAAGACGTAAATTATCTCTACGCGTAATATTCACGTTGATTGTCATTTAATGATATAGCCTCACCGAGACGGCAATTCTGAATGCGCGGATTCATCTTGATCCAATTGCGCATCTGCTCGAGAGCCTGATCTCTGGTGTTCTTGTCCTCCCTAAGCTCTTCCTTCGCTATCTTCTGCGTCTCCGACGAGAGAGTGCACTCATAATTGTCCTCATCGACTGCCCATTCGACTGCTCCCATCTTGCTTTTGTTCGAAAGACGTCAAGTGATTTACTTAAATTTTCAGAGATCTGAAATTTTTTGAGACATTGTGACATTTTTACATATTTTTCGGAAATTTTAAAACCGTGATTTTCGGGTTTTATCAAAATTACATCTCTCAACAGTTATTTCGAAAAGATAAAATACGAATAAGGAAAATAAAAAAATATCTGTTTAATTAAAGAAATATAAATTTTTTAATTTGCTGGATATGTTTGTACATTGTAAATTCTTAATAAAATACATAATGATCCCTCTTTCGGAATTTTGCATTAAGCGTATTTTTAGGTATTTAACGAGAGTTTGTTCCCATTTATCTTCTCGTAATAATTTTCGATTTAATTATGCAAGCGTGACGAGACGTGGTTCACTTTCTTTCAAACCGTCGCGACGCGTCGGACGATACCGTTTAATGACCGGCTAACACAGTTTCCGTTCAAAGTCGCGGTGGACCACGGCGAAGGCGTGAAGACGAAGTGCGCTCGTCTCTTTCACTTCTTCGGAAGAGAGTGTATCGATTACGTCGCCCGGCCGATCGAACGTCGAGAGGTCTCGGACCTTTCGTCAGTTTATGACATAACGATTAGCATCGCGCTTAATCCACGTGCTTGAGTCAGCCTGTGTGTGCACCGGCCCGTTTCGCAATCGCTTTCTCCGATTATGCAATGCGAAGTCAGTTGTTCACCTATCTTTGTTCGCCGAAACAAAATGCCGCGTCGCTCCCGGGAGAATTGTCATTATCATCTCGTCACGTTAATTTACCTGTCCCGCTTCACAATTACGTCGTTTCCAGACATTTATTACAATGGCGAACAACCCCATTTTTCCGCCGCGACGCGAAGCAAGTGGAAAAAAGCCGAGAGAATGAGACGTCTCTAACAAATTGGTATACGCAGTCTGTCTCCTGGCGAGAACCGAGAACCATTTCACAATGGATGTAGCTGTTTGCTTTTTCTCCTCTATGCGTTTACGTTACCGAAAGAAATGTATTTCTTAATTTCTTTCTTGTCTCGATCACTCCCTTCTACTTCTGCAAGCGTGGACCTTCGCATATCGGAGCAAAGGTATATAATTAGGGTTGTATAACTCTGTTGCAATATCACCTTTATGTATCGCAAACTAGATCCACAAAAATCTTAACGTAAAGAATACGTAATATCCGCAATGTTACGTCACCGTTTGAAGAATGGAGTCTGGAGATAAAAAGCTTCGGGGCAAGCATGTGATTGTATCAAGATACACGTCGGATTTCAAGACAGCTCTTAATAAATAAAAAGAAAGAAAAGTGGCAATCATTGAATCGTATAAACGCCATATATTACGTTATATCGGTGTCGTATCCGTGTTCGTCTTACGTCGATGAAACGTAATCGCAACAGCCACGCACAAAGCATGCTGTATTAGGATTATGATAGAGTCGGTTAAGGGTATACTGTGTCTTCCGCGTAGAAAGTGCCACTTATCGCGTTACCGCTCGCGAGCTTTCATCTCTCCGAGCCCCGTCGAGTGCGCGCGTAAGAGCTTCTTTTTTCATACGAGAATATATTACGTTGATTACATCACGCCGGTACTTATATTCATCTTTTCGTTTTCATCTCGGCCCGTAAGAAGAGAGTTTACCGCTCGTTATTACGATACGATCATGTAACCGTTACGGCCTGCCTTCGTGTATTACGAGGATTAGGTCACGGTGTTTACGATCAGTTAACGCTATTGTGTACGTCTAAATGAGCGACGACATGCCGAATCCCGCGCGCTCTTCTTGACGAGCTCGAATTTCCATCAAAATGCCGATTTGCGCCAATGACGATTCCGCCAATGCGTTCCGTATTTTCGACCTTTAGTAACATCGGCCTTTGCGACCAAGGACGAGACAAGATGCTCCGAAGATCGCGATTGAAATTCGCGCGGCGTTAATCGATTCGACAAATTATTCTGGCGAACGTGATTAGAGAACTCGATGCAGACGTCACAGACAATGTCGTTATGTTGTCGCCGTATAATTGATGACTTTCAACCCTTTCGCGTGATATAATTTACGATTATGGCTAAAATGTTAATATTGATATTACATGCGCACGATTTCCATCCTTCAATAAGAGAGAAATTTCACTTATCAACAAAAATGTTCGTGATTATAAATTTGTAATTTAATATGCGTTAACCCTACATTACTCATGTATAGTTTCTTCAACGTTATATATTCGTATGGGATGTATTTTACACTCCAACATTATATCCCAATTCTTATTGTTCTCTATGACGATTTACACTTAAATAAAAGTTGATAATATTCAATATATCCTTTACATAAAAATAAGTGTAAAAGTTCCTTTTTAATTAGGAACCAATTTGTGCAGTATTTGATTTGTAAAAAAACTTTATTCTGCGAATTTAGTAGATTTCTAAAACTGCGGTATATTTTACACTCCACATGAGTAACGTAGGGTTAAATGTATAAAAGCCAATGTAAAAGCATCAAACTAAAATGTACGAAATAAAAGGTAGTCAAATTTTTTGTCAATTTGCATTTTATCTTTTTTTTTACCTTTAAAAGAAAATCCCATGGCGTTAAGCGTTCTTGGTTATTAAACAAAAGTGTGTTAGATTCTGATAAAGCAAATTAAAGTGAAATTCTTACCTACTATGTCCATTTACAAAACTTAGTTTCTTAAAAGTTTTTATGTTTGCAACTAAAAAAAATTTTTAAATATAGACACTGAAATTTCATTCAACATCTATAAGAAAAAATAAGCAACCTCTATAGAAAAGACTTGGATTAAGAATAAAATATGCTAAATGTAAGTACGTGCTATGCAAATTAATTCGAAAAATTCTACTTTCACGCTTACTCAATTTGCTTCTTGAGGAACCGCGCGAAATCGAAGCTGCGGAGATCTATGTCTTAAGCACAGTCTTATAAAGGTATCCTATAATATGTATAAACGTACTCCGATCGTGGTGCCTCAGGTACACACTTGGAAGCGACTGCCCCACTCTTGCTGGTCAATCGCTCTTTTATAATTTCCAGCGCGTTGCCCTTCCTCCACTCTTTTCCAATCGCGAACGAGCGGTGTCCTCGTGGTGGCCCGCGAGTCCTTCGGGGTACAAGAAGGCGACCTCGCCTTTGTTCCCAACGTACGAATTGAACGTAAAATACAACTTTCCCGTAAACGTCCCGCCGAAGGTAAACTCGTAGACTGTGCTAGTCTCGCTCGTCTTCTACCCTCTTTTATAGATACGTATGCGCGATACTATCGGTTTCGTAATGACCCCCGGTTATACCCTCGATCTGGTTCCGGACGCCGATCGTCTTCTCGCCGACTCGATCGTAGGTAGATATATCCGGTTCAACCGGTCGGTTGAAGGTGAATCTCATGCGAAGGTCTTGTACTTCGTACTTTGCAAAGTTTATTTGCTCTAATTGAGATAAATATATGTTTCCGTGCAGCAAAAGTTTTTACAATCAAACCAAAACGTTTTAACGTCTTGCAATAATGTTACACGTGGATGTGTTGCAAAATAAAAAAAGTTGCAAAATGCAAAATCAGAAATGAAGCTTACGAGCAGCTTAAAAAAGTTAGTCGGCCGATTGCCTGGAAATAAATTTGCATACAATAGCAAACAATTGACCCAGGTGATCACGCTCGAAAAGAGCTCAATTTTATTGTTTCTTGTAGAACAAGAATACAGAATTAATTTGAAACAAAGTTAACTTGATGACGGGAAAAACAGCTATTATCCGTGTCATCTAAACGGATGTAAAAAATAATGTTCGGTAACCAAGCTGAAAATTGTCGGGTCTATCTTCATTCGTCATTCGCGTTTATCTTCGGTGGCACCTCAGCGGCGAAAGGGGCAGCTATCGTGCGTTGGCGTGCGTTGCGCGCAGGATGTCAGTGTCGCCACGATCTTAGCGAATCGTTAAGAAAAAAGTCGAGTCGAGCAAGTCCCGTTCCGCGATGAATATAGGAAACGCTCTCCAGGTTCTCCAGTTTCGCGGTTTTCACGGGGGAAAGAGCGCCGTAATTGCTATAATAAACTAATCGCGCATTTTCATGAACATATACATACATGAACTTTCTATTTCCCGTCACGGAGAAGCGAAGTAAAGGGGGCGAATTTTGTAAGTGCCGCGATGTAATATACATAGTCTTTGCGTGTTACAGGACGTAACTTCTGACTAGTTGCGTCACATCTCATCGGTGCACGTAAGAGGTAAATGAGAGATACCTTTTTTTTTATCCTGCAGACGTAACATCGCGAAGCGAAAACTCTAACATTGATTGATCCGTCTTTAAGTTGCGTCATGAGGAAATCATAAAATGTGGGCTTAATTAAGGGAAAAATGAGTGGACTGTAACGAAGATTAAGATCAAGTCTTGATGATTAAATAATCTCGTATATTATAGAAAAGTACTAAAAATGCTAATGTGTACAAAGTCATTTATAAAATATTTAATTCATTTCCGCATTCGTCGCCCGCAACTTGCAACATGTAGAAGAATCATTAAATATAAGGGTAATCTCCAGTGATATTGTCACACGCAACTCAGTACTTTAAACGCTTTCTCCCCATCTCTCTTCACTTTTACGCCCGAAAACTTTTACTTTACAGAAATATTAAAACTTATTATATTATAATATTATTATAATATTATAATAACGTAATAATCATCCCACATATACCTCGCGTTTAAGAGGTGGAATGCCAATTTTAATGGGTAGTGAAGCTATATAAGGCTTAAAGTGCCAATGGATTAATAATCCGTTTAAGAGAATTATTGCATAGTGAAAATGGTCAAAGGAAAAGAAATTGATTGAAACTATACATATTGGACTTAGAGTTGTTTGTGTCAAATTACCTTTGAGTAGAAGACACTTAATCTCCTTCAGGACCGAGGGGGAATTCGAAAAAACCCGCCTGTGTTTAAAACGGTCTTAAATATAAAACTATGAATACCGGCCTAAGAGAATTGTACCCTAAAATCAGAAGACTTTATACAAATTAAAGGCACTAAATAAAATCCATTCTGACTATAATCAGATTTATCGGATTTCTAACATAAAATATAAGTAAAATATTCTGTAAGTAGTTTTCAAGGCATTTTCAAGATACAATTTGGCACTTAATTCTTTTTCAACTTATTTCTATTTAACTTATTCCTATCCGTTAGAACGGTGACTATACGTAATCGAAAGAAATTCTTTCTTTCACGTCTTGGAAAACATTGGATTTACGTTTACCTAGAAACAATTACTTACAGCTAAGAGGGCGGAAGGAAAAACGCGAAATATAATCGAGCGACTTTTCAGTTGCATAAGAGCAATCAGTGGTAACAACGTAACATTTATAGTACGGATATAATATGTCGTTACTTAACGTATGTTAAGTTACTCGCTCACAAATCGTTATGAATCCAAATGCAATTACAGAAAGAAAGTTTCAAAGCCCGCGATATCACATACGTATCGAGAGTCTTAATTCATGTAAGCTCGCTTAATCGCGCGTAACTACATACTGATTACGTGCTTTACCGGACGTAAGCGATATGACATCACATATTATCATCCGCGAAAATCACCGCTCGTCTTCGATATCCACAATCCAGAAGTAATACATACGAAAATTTCATCATGCGCTCGAGCGAACTGTGAACTCATATTCGTGTTCAAGCTGGCTTTCATTAATAAAATTGGCACAATCCGATCTCTTTAAATTATCGAAATATCGAAATAATTAACCCATTAGAAACGCGTTTCAAAAAATATTCATGCTTAGAAAATATATTCGCTCAAGAGAGAGAGTAGGAACTATCTATATAATCTTAAGATTATCGTAACACATTGTGATCGAAACAGTTACGCGGAGAAGAGATACGTGCTACACAGTCGGGCGTTCGTTAATTCAGTCGTAGAAAGTACAGTAACACTTTATCAGTCTTTATGAGGACCACGTACGATCGTTCTTTATTGTCTACCGTATATCTGAACCTTGTTATAGGCCCTTTTACAACCGGCATTATTTTGTATCAGACTCCGTTTAACAGCAGCAAATTTATTTTCGGAGAGCGTTAGCCCGCTCTCCACTATTGCATCCATAATGCACATCGATAAGGCGTTCTCGTCCAAAGGAAGATAATAAAAGAATCTGATATCCTTACTAATATATTCATTGAAAATGTCCTCTATTTCCCTTATACTTGGATATGAACTTACATCAAAATTAAAAACCGCCAGTACGGTCATGAGCTTATCTTTATACGTGTCTTGATACCTTTTAAAAAATTTTGCGACGTCCATCAAATCGCGTTCCTTCAGGTTTTCTATGATAATCAGACCCGGCTGTAAGAAAGGAATATTGAATTCAAACCCAGTCCTGATTGGTGGGAAATACTGTCGAATAGAGTATTTCCTCGGGAAATTTTTCTTTATGATCTCCACCGTGTACGATTTACCAACGCCCGTACCACCAATGAGGGTTATTATCTTCAAGCGAGGTGTATCAGACAGAAGATATTTGCTCAGATCGAATATTAGTGCATCTTGACCATGAATCCGCTTCAATTCGACCACGGCGCTCGCAAAATCACTGCTGTGTTTGCGATCCTGACTCTCACTCATGTATACCGCGAGCGAGAGTACGACTATCACAGTCAATGGTAGAAACATTAAACGTTTGCAGCAAGACATTTTCGACAGATAGTTCGAAGAAAACGATCGGATGTTGTCTCTCTTATTTGAACGAATGTTGTCTCTCCTATCTGAACTTACGTTACCTCTCCTATCTGAACTGACGTTACCTCTCCTATCTAAACTGACGTTGTCTCTCCTATCTGAACTGATGTTGTCTTTCTTATCTGAACTGATGTTGTTCTTCTGATTTGAATCTAATGAGCCCTTCGATTCCTCTACATGCATTTCGCTTCCTTTATTCGCAGCTGAGAACTGTCTTTGTCTCGCATTAGCCTTGTCCGGTATCACGAAAGGAGAAGGCCCCCTTGCCTCTTCAATTTCCATATCCTGATTTTCCATTGGTCTTTTAGCTGATTGTTTACACTGAATGTCGCATAAATTCACAGAGCTGCTGTCGGACATTGAATCTTCACAACTGCAAATGATATTTTATTAATTTCATTTAGCGTTATATCCTTAAAACAAACGCACATTCTAGTCCTCGAATAATCATGTTAACGCTAACTGCGTGTGCGTATGTTCGAATTAAATTCAGTTTCAATCTCACAAGTTTGATTATACATTACTGCTCTAATTAACAGTAAGTTAAATTAGTCGTTAAGAATTAAATTAAAAGAAGCAAAATCAAATCTTTAAAGAAGTAAGTTAGATGTCATTAACGTATTATGCAACAAAGATCTTTTGCTATTCATCTGATCTGAGAATTTATTATGATTCCTACTTGAAATAAAAAAAAATATTAGTACCTATAAATCACGGGAAATTCTTCCTTGCTGCGTGTTTTGACTATACTATCCCAATTTTTGTCGTCCAAATTGTCGGATATTCGCACTCGCACTCGGTTGAATTCGTGTCCGTTGAAGGTGTTTGTCCTAGACCACGTGTAATACATCTGCTTCTCGTATTTAGACTCGTTGAAGCCATTCGTGATATTTTCGCAATTCTTTTTCATAACTTAAGAGACCGAAAGGTTTCCTGCGAGAGACGATAATCTAACCTAGGATAACCTACAAACCACAATAGCACGTGTTTACACCCCGTCTCTGTTCGACGTCTTTGTCCCACGCAGATCAAAGTATTCGAAGGGACCTTTAAGAGCCGAGGCGCTTACCTGACTTTCCTTAATTTTCATCGCTCATAAATGGCTAACGCAAAATCGAACGAAAGTACTCCAGGGTCAGGAATCAAGATGACAAATGTCCTTTGTTATCGGTGTACAATCGGATCAAGGCGAGCGAGGCGCGGGACGACCAACGTTTCTTCAACTCGGCAAATTCGAGACGCAACTGGAGCGGCGAGCTACGCCGACGGCTGCCAGTCATAAAAACACTAACCGTCTTAGGTGTTAGACCGATCGTCCTAGACCTAGACCACTTGGACGACCATGTTCAAATTCCGGATACGCGTACCAGCGACTCGAACCATCATCGATGAGGAAAATGACCAAAAGCTTCGTGAATCCTCGAATCGATATATATTCAGCCTTTAAATAAAATTCTAAAACATGTAAATCAAAACGGGAAGGTCGAAGACCTTCTTTCTTTCAAGCTACACTCTCTACACTCTCGTCATTTCCTCCTCTGTCTTTTGAAGCGCGACTCCGTAACTCGGCTCTGCTCCGAAATCGAACGGTGCAAACGCGCCTGAAGCGCGAAGCCACGGGGCTATCCGGCCTCGCTGTCCGGCCCTGCGGATGCCACAAAACGGAGTATACCTCACGACCGAGATACAATCACGATACAACCTTCAAGACTCGCAGGAAAAAAAAACGAATTATTTGACGACCGTTTTTCAGGCCGCCGCGACGGCGACCGGAGCAGCGCGCGTTGACGCGTGCGTGCCTCGTGTCGTGACGAAAATTAACGCGTTTACGCGGTCCGATTCGCGCGTTCCCTTGTTTCACAACACCGCAGGTCGCGTTCGGTCTTCGGTGTCAGCACTCAGCAGCAGCAGCAGCCCAGTCCGGTGGTTCCGACCCGACCGCTTCCGGCCGCGCCAGCAGACCAGCCGGGACCGCCTCACTCCTCAGTTCCTGCTCGCGTATCGACGAGCGAGGGCGAAACGTTTTCCCGACGCGGCGCGCGCCGTTTGCCTCCCTCGGTGATGTGACACCCGGTGGTGGTCGAGCGTAAACGGTGCGGCAGCAGCGTGAGAAAAGCCGAACGAAGGAGAGGACAAAAATGAGGTCGAGCGTTTGCCTGCCGCTTCTGCTGCTGGTGGCCGCGGCGAGCGCGAGGATCCACAAGCTGGACATACGGGTTGGTTGCCGTCTCCCACTGTCTCCCAGACGGCGCCCGCCCGTCATTATCGTTATCACGCGCCCGATCGCGCCTTGGGAAAGAGAGCGAGATGCCCGAAAGGCAGCGCGCTCCGAAATGCGTCTACGAGCTCGTCGAATCACCTTATTTATATGAGTCGGCGATTATCGCCGACAAGCGCGGTAGGATAAGATCCTGCGAGAGGAAAGGCGAAAGACGCGCGCGTTACGTTGTTACGCGCGTATCACGGCCGTGCGGAATCGACGTGGTGTCATCGGCGATATCGTGAGCGCATCGATAATTGCGGAGCGCGCTACGCCGCTTAACGTCACGAGGCAATTATCGGTCTTATTAATTCTGTTTCTGCGACTGTGACTGGCAGTGACAGTTGACGGACGTCCGGCTGACGCTAACGCGAGGTTTTTTTCGGAGCGAAAATCGTATAGTCCTGGAAAAGATTGTGACGCCGCGCGCAGTCACGGATTATGCCAATTCGCAGGCGGAGCGGTACGTCCCTGGAAAAATTTTCCAGAGAGAGGTGTCGAGGGGATGTCGATCCGGGAGTCGTCGAATCCCTCGCACAAAACCTGTTCCCTTTCGGACGGTTCTTGCCCCAGTTCCTCCTTTCGCATTCTTGAATAATATACCTGCTCTCGCTCACGGAAGTGTCGTATTCGTATTTCAGAAAGACGGAAGGCACTACATCACCTTGAGCACATTCGGCTTCTACAAGGGCGGCATCCTGACCGTGAATCTCACGAACTTCAAGTTCGAGCCGACGGACGCCGACAAAAAGACACCGGAAACCGCGAGCAAGGCCGTGGTGAGTTGCTAATAATATTCGGCTCATAATTTCTTCCGCAAACCGCATACGCGACTTGATGGATTTATGAAGTCGTTAAAGATTTTTTGGGGAAATTTGGAGGCAATGCTTTTTTCAGAAAATTATGGAACAACGAGAGTTCCGCGGCAGTAAATGACGAAGAGATCATTCTTTCACATATTTTGATATAAAACATAGCAGCGCGCTATTTGTAGCGATTATGCGTTACGTTAATATCATTATACATATTGGTAATTTTATAACAAAGTTTTTCTATTAACTTCAGTATAATTATTCATGTTATTTTATGTAAATAGTATTCGTATTATTCTTATAGGATGATCATCGGAAAGTGAAACTAAATGGCTGTTATTTTCTAACAAATAGACAGGATGAAGTGAATTAAGCACTAATCCGCAAAAGAAATCTGTCACTAACATGTGCAAAAAGAATGTATGAAATTGCAAAAGTAAACATTATAAAAGGCCGATAACTTGGTTGATTTCATGACTCAATAATAATATATGTTCAAAAGATTTTGGAGTAAACGGAGTAAGACATTTTCATGAAAAAAATCTTCAAAGACACAGTTACAGTTATTAATGTTAGAAAGTGTACTTAATAATTTCTAAAAATGCTTCTCGTTATAGCACGAGTTCAACTCGGAGTTGAAACGAATTGTTGCTCCTTTTTTATAACATTTGTTTTTAAAAGTGCTCACATGTGTGTGTTACTTTTTGCACTAACATACTAATAAAAATGATGAGTTTCTTCTACTCTGTATATTGTTTAATTCATTTCATTATGTTCAACCGTTACAAAGTAATAGCTATTTACGTCTATAGCAACTTCCCGACGGTGACTATATTCTATAACTAAATTGCTTCGAGTTGTCATTCATAATTTCAATCTCTGATGTAAAAAGAGAGGTTTGATTCCAAAGTTCACTCTATTTTTACGCTTGATTAAACTTTGATTACGAAGCAGCGACGTTGCAACAATACGTCGCTGTCGTGCAGCAACGGACACCTGTTACCGTCTTCCGCACTCACGAGGAGAACCACCCGCGTTTATAAATAAGCGCGCGGGTATGCGGATGTATCATCGCCTTGTTAGATTCGTGAATGACTTGTTCACGCTTGCAGTGCAGAGCGTGAACTATACTGACGCATGAGACTTATTTATTTGGCGGTGCATGTCATCATTGATTATTATTGTCTCTAAAAGATCCTTTAAAAATCGTTATCTATCTTTGCGCGAAAAACCTTACTTCTTATTTACTTAAAACTTTGTGACTTAATTTTATATATCGCTAGAATTTATTAGAATATAATAGAGAACGTCCTTTTTTGGGCAAAATAAAGAAGTCAAGTGTAAACGGCTGTAAAATCATACAACTTATATGAGTTTGTTTTTGTATCGTTCACAATAATGGCATTTTCGTTTTGTTCGCAGTTTGGATTTAGCTTGGGTCGAACGCTCATCGATGCCATTAATCCATATGTGCACAATCATCTGGACAGATGTTTGCTGCAAAATGTTTCCAATCTCAAGACAGAGCAGAAGGATGACAGCTCGATCATCTACTTTACCATGGACTTGAAGAATTTAACGTATGTGTTAGGAAGAATTTAACGTATACGCAATCGCAGGACGTGGCAAGTGACGCTGGAGGTTTGCAATTCGATTTTAATATTGCAGAATGCAGGTGAACTGCAGTAGCAACGTATACGCGGCGCACATCTACAGGGATCCCAGCGCGGTGTTAATGTATCGAACAAAGAGGAGTTCGCTGTCAGCGAGATTCAGCGATACCGCGCTCTTCCCACGGAGAAAACGGAACACGTCGCACGGTGAGTCGCGCTCGGCAGTATCGGATCGCGCTCACGAAGCTATTTCTACCCCCCTCGCGCGACGGTAAAACTATGCGAGGTGGCATGTGTCAGCGCGAGAGTAAATATCCGCTAACAAATGTCGGAACGAACGCGTGCGTCTCATCGATTTTTCACGTCAATCCGACGGTATTCCACACGTGTGTAACGCGAGCTGCGTTTATACTTAACAATATTACACAACGTGTGGTACACGTGTCACGGACTTGCAACATTTGGCATATGCTTAACAACGTGATAATTATGCGAGAAGATAGACTGCGACAGATATCTCGTTTAGCTTCCACGCGTTGCACAATCCGGGAGTTGATCTCAGACGTGAGATTTGCCTCGAAAAATTACGATCTAAATGCTATTGCTGTTTGCTATGAATAGAGCAATGAAATCCCTCATCTAGGACATACGCGAAAAACGATGTCTGGTACATGTTATCAGCAATGCGTGTGCTGTATATCGAAAATAAACCATCACGGCATCTGCCAGATATTTTCGACACTTCTCCACCGCCTAATATTAGAAACGCCTAAATTGCAACAGTTAAAAACAGGTGCAAACTGGAGACTTGGCTTATGATCCTGAAACGAGTCATTTGCCGTTAGCCATTAGCAATTATTATTATTATCCTGACAATTTCATTTCGAGATCCAACAGTCGATTATTATGACACAATATTATGACGCGTCATAAAGATAATAAATATTAATAAATATTAATAAATGATGAAAAGAGAGATCTCTTTTAAACATACAATTACTACGATTTTATTATTATGTTTAAAAATGTTTACGAAAGGGCTGAACAACCTCTTTTCGTTCAACAGCTATTGAGATAATTTTATAAGATTTTTAACAGTCTGTATCTCTAAAATGAGGCCAGGCCACTTTGAGACCACATTTTCTTCATAAAACGACCTAAAAAAAAACAACTCGTAAAATATTGGACAGTACCTAAAAAACATGCTATATGAATGCGAACAAATTTAAAGAATTCGGGCGACGAGCGAATTTACGACGATCGAGGCGCATAATCCGCGCATTATTCAGGCGACTGCTTTTAACGATGATCGATGCGGTCACGAGGCGACATCGGTGATCGAACGTCATCGTAGATGAGAGACGCTATAATTAACACAACTCGTCCCCGATCTTATAAATAACGCGAAACTAAGGTATTTTGGAAGACTCGGTTAGGTAACTGTCTCTTTTGCGTATAGTACATCTATCACCGACGATGTCTCGCGTCAGTGCCATTCGCGGACACGCCGACGACTCATCCGAGACAATGGCACTTGTTTTCACCATTCGCGCGAGCAGGTTTTTACATTCCTTTTTCTTCTAGAATTTGTCGCTAGATAAAAATTCTTTTCTGCGCAGTGCTCGAGAAGGCCGTCGGTCGCGGCAATGACGGGTCCGGGTCGGACAGCAACGCGTGCTCTCGTCTGAGATTACCGATGACGATGGAGACGATGCCCAAGGGCGAGAGATTGTACAACACGAGCCTCGTCATGTACGTCGCCAGCGAGGAAGAGGAGGGCCTGTACAATCTCTATTTTCACAACTGTCAGAATTATGATAATAACAAGGAACCGCTGCTCGTGGATTTCACGGTGAGATTATCCGGCGAATTGGATTAGGAGATTAAACGATCGTTCGTCACGCTGAAGAAACATTCCTCTCCGTAGGTGGAAATAGCGGAGATTAATAACGACAACTTCCTCAGCGCCGGCGAAATGCCACTGCCGGCTCTGTATTTCACGATGGCGCTACTCTTCTTCTTGTCGGGCTGCTTCTGGGTATTTATTCTTAATAAAAGCAAGTAAGTGCGAAACGGCAGAGGAGATATAATAACGAGGCAGCATTAGCAGAACGGAATGTAAACGTGTTACTTTCGCGATGTAGGCATTCTGTATTCAAAATCCACTACTTAATGGCTGTGCTGGTGTACCTGAAGTCCTTCTCACTGTTGTTCCACGGTATAAATTACCACTTCATCCAGACCAAGGGTGAGCACGTCGAGGCGTGGGCGATTTTGTACTATATTACACATCTTCTGAAAGGCGCTGTTCTTTTCATCACTATTGTGCTCATTGGCACGGGCTGGAACTTTATAAAGCACATTCTTTCGGACAAGGAAAAGAAACTCTTCATGCTGGTCATACCATTACAAGTAAACGTCGACGTCTTTTTCTTATTTGTAGTTTAAGTGAAATTTTTTTTTGATCGATCAATTAGAACCAATCTTTTTTATTAACATGTTATCTGCCCAGTGAGTTTCGTATGTCTTATATGTACACAACAGAATTTTTATCATCTAAGGAATATATTGAGTTATGCACTTTTTGCTTTTTATTGTCCAAGAAATTTCTGTTATTCAAAACTTTATATTAAATAACATTTATTTTAGACGTCGGTCACGGATGATCATTATGGCAGTTGACATCGTTAATATCGATCTCTAAATACATTTCGATTTGAATTAAAATTATTAGTAAATTTAAACATTCTTCTTTATTATCGAGGCATTAAATGTCAAAAACTAAAAGTGTGCAAATTGTATAATTGTCTGGTACATGATGACCTTAAAGATGTAACAGAAATACATTTCTTCGTAGGTGTTGGCAAATGTGGCTGAGATAATAATCGAGGAAAGCGACGTGGGTAATTTGCGACGCGAGACCTCGCGGGACATGTTCATACTTGTCGATTTGGTGTGTTGTGGCGCAATTCTATTTCCGGTGGTGTGGAGCATCAGGCATTTAGAAGAGGTCGCCCGCACAAACGATAAAGCGGCGATGAACTTGCGCAAGCTCGTGCTATTTAAGCATTTCTATATTATGATAGTCTTCTACATATACTTCACCCGTATTATAATGTACATACTTAAGGTACGTTATTTCGTGATTTACGTTGATTTGCACGTATTAATCTCACAAATATGGTCACAGTCGCAAATCATGAATCCTCCTTTGATGTATTCGGTTTCCCTTCGCAGATTACAGTGCGCTTTGACTATCAATGGCTGGATGAAACGTTCCGAGAGATGGCAACCTATACATTCTTCGTTCTAACAGGCTACAAATTCCGACCAGCGTCCGCAACCACGTATTTTACAGTACCGAGCGACGAAGTAGAGCCAGACGACGAGGACGACAAGACCGACGTCGTGTATGTACCAAATTAATCTGTTATGTGTAAATTCTTATCAATTCTCTCATTCTCAATTTTTTCCAAGAAAAACCCCGATAAACTTTATTTTATATATATATCAAATTAGTGCATATTAATACAGCGAAAACGAGAGACTTAACGGGTTCGATGATTCATCGAACGCAGCAAAGTAATATATTTGTGTTTAAAAACAATATTTCGTTCAGGCTTTGAATAATCGCTATGAATAATAACAGCTTTGCTTTGCTCACTTTTTTTTCCTTTGAAATCTTTTTAATATCTCGGTGTTTTCTTTTTTCAGTATTTCCGGTGGTAACGGAATCAACAGGGATTTCAGTACAGTGAGTAAAACTCCAAGAGCGGTGAGGTCTGCGACTTCAAAAGTCCCGTCTACTGAGGAGGAGCGGCACGCTCTTTTCCAAAAGTCCTCTCGCGAGTACGACTGAGGATAAATCGTGATAGACCACATCATGCGACGAATGCGCCTATGATTTGCGAATCTCAAGGCTATATTTTGGATTGAAGGGACGAACGAAAGCGCGGCGAAACAAGGGTGAACTGAATGTAAAAATAGAGAGAGAGAGAGAAAGTGAGTGTGTGTGTATGTGTTTTTCCTATTCTCAAATTTATTTTATATTTTTCAGAGGAGAAAGGAGAAAAAATAAAATATTTTGTATATGTGCCCGCAAATGTACTAGGTTGTTCAAATAGGTGAACAAGAAGTAGGAGTGAGCAAAAGATATGATTAATTGCTGCACAACGCATTACTATTAAATTTTTAGTGAAAGAAAATGCAAAATCTTACCGAAATTGATGAAAGACTTAAAAAATAGTTCACAAATGATTGTTTTTCAAAAACCCAGGGTATCTAAATTGTGTAAAATATATTTAAATAGAGGACGCAGTAAAAATAAACCACATACTGGCCGCTGTACTTGCGAATGTTACTCAACGATAATAGTGTGTGAATCGCGTTAATGATTTATTCAGACAATACACGGGACAATACACGTATAATGGTTCGCAACATTCAAAATATTTTACAAATTAGTTTTGGCAGTATCGAATCCATTATTCGTGACAACTTAAAATTCAGGAAACGTTCGACTATACACGGCTAAAAAAGTATCACTAATTTGAAATGGGCTTTACTTCTTCACTCTTTATTATTAAAATTTAGCTAGTGATTTTCATCTGTTTTTAAAGCTCGAAACAGACTTAAGTGATCAATGATTCAAAAATAATGTCGAAATTATTAAAAACAAAATTGAATCCATATCCAGCCAGAAAATTTTTTTAAAAAAGATATAAAAAATTTCCACAAATTTGAGAAAAATATCTCGGACTCCAGGGTAAATACGTGAACTAAAAGGTATATTATTTCCCCGAATAAAAGCTCTTCGCACTATTAAAAACAAATCAGTCTCATTTATATTTGAACAATCTAATATGTATACCAGTGTGTTGCATACGCGATGAGTAATCGTGTTTACTTATTCACAATCAAGATGCTTCACATTTCGGTTTAACTTTGATTATGCATCTCACTGAACTGCGGATTTCTTGATTCTCTTCCGCTTTCGTTGTCCAGCATTCAATCCAACATTAGTGAGACATTTCTCGTTTAGCTCTTCTTTTCTTTTTACAATTAGTGAGATATTCGATTAGGGTAACTGCTCATCTTAACGTTCCACAATATTACGCAATGTTACAATTCTAACGTGAAAAATGCGAGCGACGATGCGAGCGCTTTTTCGACGCGCCTTTTGTAGTCGGTTTTCCGTAGGCATTTAGAGAAACATTTCCATTTTTTTTCCCATGACAGACGCGCTGAACACTTTCCTGGTACGAGAATCACATCTCGCGCACGATGCGGATACTTTTGTATCGCGATTCGTAATTTTACTTTTAGACAAGCGACCGAATTAAACGGTACAATAAACTTATCTAACAATATGTGTCCTCGCGATATTATGCGATACTATTGTACTAGAATTAATATAACCGTCAGTGGCGGATCTATTGGTACAATAATGAAGCTTAAGGATTTCTATATAATAATAAGGGTATCAAAAGATTTCTACCACACAGGAATGTGCCGAAACGTATTGTTTCTTAAGTCATGATACGTTTTCAATTTCCTTTTCAGTTTTGTTTATATTAATTATTTTGTTAAATACCAATCAGTTGTCTTAATTACAAATAGAGCTCAAACTATAATATGGACGGACCTTCTTCGTCGAAGAAGAAGAAACTCTGCAAAGATATAGGAGGTTCCTCAGAAGAAGCTTCTCTGTCTACAACCTCCCCGAAAAAATCCCAAGACAAATTATCCCCAAGATATTCGGGAAGTTCTTCTCAAGAACAAACTCCCCCAACAGGAACCTCTAGAACAGACCTCCGAATTATATATATATAGATCTGTAAATTTGTTATATATTTGTAAGTCGAATTTTCTTTGAGGCGAGATCTCTGTAGGAATGTTAATCTTTTAGAAACGTCAGAAAACGTCCGCTGGAAATATAGATCCGCGATTGACACTATGGTACTTACTATTACTACATACATTGTACACACACACATTGTCGTTACATTCAGGGTCATGTCTACCTATAAAAACTAGCTGAAATTCCAAAAGACGTTGCCCCATGGAAGGTAAACACGGCCTTGGTTACATCTGTTACTATAACTGTGTCGTATATATCGAATGGGACACGAAGAGAGTTGAAAGAATAAAGCGGATATTTTTATGAATATGCTCCGTTTACTTTGATTTCTTCCCTCTGCTTTATATGTATGCGTTTGTGTATATCATACACGATGAAATATTGTTGGACATTTAAAATTTCTTCGCGTCAACAGTCGGACTTAAAAACCCAGAAAGAAAATCATCGATTTAGCGAATCTGTATTTATTTCGAGAAGAAGTCGCGTAAACGATTGAGAATTTTATAGCCGATTCAATGCTAACGCAAACTTGGCGAAATTTATTTAATAGTCCCTAATACCTACAGCACCGTTATTTTTTCATTTCTTTGCCCGACGTGCACACTTATAACCCCTAGATACGTGAGAAATATCCTGATGATGACTGCATCACCAAACTTGCTTCCGACGAGCGGAGGGTAATCCTTTCACGTTTCTCGTCTGCAAGAAGAACAAACGTGACGCTCGTTGAGATGAGAGTTTTTCCCCCGTTTCTGGCGAAGAATTGAGATTAATATATATTCTGAAAGAAAGAATCGCCTTTCTCTACCGTCGGACCTTTAAGCCCGTTCGGTGCGTATAATAAATTAAATTGGCAACGAGTTAGTCGGCAGCTCGACTCGATCAATTTACATCTTGCGGTAGAAGTGCGGACCGAGGGGCGATAAAATAGATTTGGAATGACGTCGTTTTCATCGCTTTCTTCGTATACTTACGTACGTTTTTACGATCGCCATAAACGCCGCTTGCGGTTTTGCATTGAAACGCGCGAACGGGGGAATTGTCAGTTCACCTTCGCAAGGCGCGTATAGAGGCGAAAGTTAAAGAGATCCTACGAAACCGAGCACTCACCTGCAATTTTCGCAGTGAACATATGGAAAAAGAAAGAAAGAACTTAAGGTGTAGCTGATACAATTTTTACACAGCGGACGTCGTTACAACGATAAGAGCTGATAAATATTTTATGTTTTGGTTTTGCGACTGATAACTTGTTTTTATAGATCGTATATTTTGTCAATCTACTTATAAAAAAAATATTACTTTTTCGACAAGAGATATTCGTGTCACGTACGTTTGAGAGGCAAATTTTAGGGGTAAAAAGTACTCAACGAGAAAAGCTAGTAATAATGTCGGGGAAGTTAGATGATGTGATTGAACGACGACGCAATAAATTCCCATTTTAATTCCCATCCCAATTTTAATTAATAAATGTGGCGTATATTTCAAGCTGTTTTCCAAAAAAATATTACTTTCACGACATGATATATTTGTGCCAGGGTTAAAGGGAGATCTTAGGGGTACAAAAACACGATACACCAACGAGAGAAGCCGGTGATAACGTCGAGAGAATTAGGTATCAATGTGATCGAACGACAACATTACACAGTAAATTCCCAAATTTAATTAACAAATGTAGCGAGACTTTCGAGGTCGAATTACAACAGAAGGTGAAGATGGCATCTTCTCCCAGTGTGTCTCGAATTTCGTTTTCGAATTCACCCCAACGTGGCAACGGCTAGCCTTGGTGAGCCCGGGATCGTCTATCAATCCCTAGCTGACTACCCTTTCCTGTCACGCACACATACCTACTGTTCGGCCGCAAACCCTCGCGTACTCGATTATTTCAACGGTCTGTCACAAAATGACAGCAATATTCGACGCGACGGATTTGCGAGTTATTTCGGTCTAATATTGCGGTTGATATTTACATAGCACATTCGCATGTCGAAATAAAACTTGCGAGAGGCGCGCTTTGTGTCTCTTCAGCCTCAGAATTTGCTTGCACCCTCGTAGGCGTCTTGGCGTATAAAATTACATCAATTTTAGGTGGAAAACTACAAGAGAGTAATTAGTTGTTCCTTATAATTCACAGCTGACAGCAGCTCAGTATTTTTCGTCTCGTTAGATTCAATTTCGGCTGAATACCAAGTTAAATTATCCAGTATTATTTTTTGACACTAGAATTACTGACGATTATATGTAATTTCTACTATTTAAAAATACTGTATATATTTTTCTTCATAAAAAAAGATGAAAGGATAAAAGTAAATAAATCAATTCAATTATTTGCATATTGTAAAAGTCATGAGAAAATTTGAAAATTTAAAAAAATTATAAATCAGTCCTTTTTTTATTATTTCATTAGTTCTAGTACAATAGTTCTAATACAAAGTCGATTTACTCGTATATTTACGCTTTATACTCATCTTTATAGATATATTATCCTGTCTAAGATCTCTGATCGTATAGACTGGTACCGCAATCGACGAGGGACAACTGCAGGATCTCAAGTCAGGCAGTGCAAAAACGCTGATCAATCTCTTTTCAACACGGCTGACGAAGATAAAGAGGCGTTCTACACGCAGAAAATTTTTCTCGTAAATACAAGTATACACGAACAAAGTAAATACCATACTAATCTTGCACGGCTAGGATATAGTCATAATATGCAAAAGATTTCAAGAAAGTATAGGAAAATTTAGAGAGCAAAAAATAAAACTATACGCAGAAGTAAATATTTCCATCAAGTATGGGACTTTCGAGAGCGCGTTTTATACTACGTTAATTTAAAGACGAATGATTCAATTATATTTTGTTCGATTGTGTCTTATCCCGAATATCGCTGATGAACAAAAAACGAGACGTCTGTTGCAGTCATGTCAAAAAACATAAGTTGAATAAGTTGCCGTTATAGGCTGTGGCGGTCAGCTGTCCGCCACGTGCGAACTTAAGAACGCTGTAGGGACCCTGCCGAGCTGCCCTAGATATAAAGGTCGATGTTGAATCTTAATCACGCGAGAATGTACCGGCGATGCGCCGCGTAGCGGGCGCGAGCCGAATCCTCTCGCCGCGCGAGCCCACGTTGCCGCTCGCGCCGCGCGCCTTCCGTCGTCCACGATCGCGGTTACTATTGCATTTCTATAAAGAACATAAACTATTGCCAGATACGCAACGAATATTTCTATACAGTTCACAATAGGTACCATTCTAGATTATATTTTTCCTATACTGTCTTAAAAAACAACGCTCAATCCAAGACATGTGAAGTTGGCAATTCAAGCTACAACGTCGAATATACACATACTAGTATGGGACTTTTTTTACTGTTCTCATATTTCCTTGTTAGTATGGCAAATTTATTTACCTTTAGGTTACAAGATGTATCTGATCAAACTATTACATTTCTATTGTCATATATTAATTTCCGGTTGAATACGCGTATATCTTACCGGAACCTAGCAAATCTAGTAAATTTTATTATGAGTATTCTACATTATTCGAGAAAAATTTTCTGCGTGTACGATAACGGCCATTTAGATACATGATTTTGATGCCTTCATGAAACGTATACGACCATTACGATGAAAGAAATATCGATTCTACTTGGGCCTGCAATAGTAACTCATCGTGCCCGGAGACACGTAGAAATCTTTTTTCGTGGGTTCTCCTCGTCCCTCGTTATCGGCCCCATACTGAGACACGCGGCTTCTTAAGTTCTACTCCCCGTGGATCGAGCACATAATTCTCTCCGCTTTGGTCAAAGTAGCCCTACGTGCCACTCTCGGCGAGATCGAAAATCTTTTCGTGCGAAACACAAATACTACACGGATTCTTGCTGTTACAACGTGTGATAAATAGCGAGCTATGACACGTGTAAGTTAAAATATCTAACAATTTTTTTTTTAGAGTCAATTGCATATTATCATTACCATTAATTTTTTGCAAACTGGTTATTTTATTATATTTCGTTCTCTTTCAGTTGCGGCTAATTGTGAAATACAAAAAAAATATAAAGAGAGGTAAAATTAAACTTAAAAAAAGAGGTAAATTTATATGTTATGGTCAAAGCTCGAAACGCGGCATTTCTAGGATTGACTGGTCAATTCTGCGGAATAACTAGTCAATCCTGTGGAATGACTAAGCGTCTTAAAGCAGTTTCGAGGGATAGGCTGGGAGTTAGATTAGTATTTTTATGCGGGGAGGGGCTTTCCCGCCTATTTGTGTATTGTCTATACACACATATCAGCAAACTACTACAAAACTTTGACCAAGACGCTTGGCCGTTCGGCAGAATTGATTAGTCAATCTTAGAATTGCCCGCGGCTTTGACCGTAACATATAAACTTATATTTCGAAATAAATATTTCCTTTAAGTAACGTACTTTCTAAACAATTTTTAAATCTGTTAAATTTTGTATGAAGAAAAATGGTAGAAAAATTTAAAAAGATAGTATGAGTCATAAACATCTCGAGAGTTTACAAATGGGGAGCGTCTAGGGATGTCAGAAACATAAACGCACCACTATCACCCCTTCTCTTCATGATCTTATTTCCAACTTTCTCCATTTACGTCATAGTTAGAGCCGCGACTTAGAAAGGGACGTGAAACGCTGAAATTAGCTAATATTCCGAGTTAGAAACTCGCTGGGATTAGTTGATCAAGGCTATCACAGGGGTAGCTGACCCTTTTGTGGAACGCAAGTCGGAATGTGGAAAGTTCGACGGTGGATCATCGAAGAATCTCATGGAAAGCTGCCCTACGCAATTTACCATGCCGATACAGGATGATCCTCTCTCCATGGTCGTTGAGCGAAGGTGGTTACGAGCCATAAATCTCAATCCTTCGCAGTGTAGGGTAACGACGTCTAGCTGTCCAAGTAGCCCAGACGAACATCATTTCGTTCCCCACACCTCTCTCATTGTAAAAGTTATCGTGTGTCGCGCGATTAAAGTAGATTGCAAAGGCGATCAAACTCGATTGTTAAAGTCTAACACCCTGCGTAAAGTTTTTATCGCAAAACGTCCCGCGCGCGAAATGACACGTTAATTACACGGATAGGCGGAATTTCGGGACTTTTAACCGAGATGAGTTTCTTTACAACGATTTTGACGCATTAATTTCCGAGATAAATTGTCTCTTTGCCCTTAGCAGAATGAGAAAGCCACCTATAACTTTGGTATATAACTTGGAGGGTATAACTTGAAATATATATATATATTTTATTCTGGAATAAATTTTCTTGAAATGATATACATTTTATTTCAGAACGGATCCTTGAAATTACATTTTATTCCGAAGCAAAAAAAATTATCTCATACAGTATTCAGCCTTCGATTTTATCTTACTCATCTACTTTTATATGTATGCGGAGCATCTAGAAAAAAGATAGAGATGGCCTTTAAACTTTAGAACCAGCTCTCTATTTTTTCTTTTAAAAAAATTTTTTAACTATAAGAAATGGTCCTAAAAAAATTATCCTTCAGTACTCTATTTAAACTACAGATTGGTCACTTAGGACATAATCGCGGAAATTGGAACCAACTACTATGTCGCAAAGCATTCTGCGTAATGAACTCTGTCTAGGAGAGATCTAATTATCATTCTCCCATACTATTTCGCAAGTTTATCCGCGACGCTCTCCGTGATGCGAGGCACTCCCGAGCGTTTCCCAGGCCAGACTGTGGGCGCCGAGCGTATGAATATCAGATAAGAGCTCGCGCCGTGGACGAGCGAGTGCAGACGAGGCGATTAGATTAAGGTTTAGTATATTTATAGAACTCGCGGTTCGCGTCGTGATTAGCGTCATCTTGTTATCCCGGCACTTCGTACCGTCATCTCATTAATTTCGCCCCGCCTCGTCGCCGCCGTCGCCACCGATGCCGTTGAGATAAATCCGCACCGATTTTTAGCCGCTCTTGCGTTTTCGCATCTCGGCGAAGGGGACATGTATCTGATCTTTTAACTCCGTACGAGTTTATCTGATTTTACGATCTTCCGGGGGCACTTCCGTATTTCCGACGGTATCGCTGAACATTTCCGCGAGAACCTTAATATCACCAGGAGTGTCGTCCTTTCTTCTATCTTTCTTTCTTCTCCGCCGTGCCGTTTTTCTTGCGAACCTCTGGAGCCGGAGTGCGACGCATGCGTCAGATGGTCGGAACCGTTTGACTCGTGCACTGGCGAAAATTCTCCAGTTGGCGCCGCGACGCGCTCGAAGGAGCTCTCGTTCGTTCGACGAGTATCCCGGGGAAGCGACGACGAACCTGTCGCCTAGTCCCGTCAGTCACGGGGGAAAAAGAAGGGAAAGGTTCTCCAGGAGAAGAGCGAAAGAGAGTACGCGAGAAATTGTTTCCCTCCCCTTTCCGGAAATAGCGCGTGCGATTCAATCGCGAGAGATGCTACAATGCAACCGACACGCATCGCGAGGTAATTATGGCATAATTATTGTTCGGGCCGTTCCGATTCGCCAAATCAATCGAGACGACCCGGACTACAGTTCGGCACGTGTTTTCCAATCGTCGGCGCGCGAAACAATAATGCACATCGTATGCACAGCGTGCGTTTTGCCGCAAAAAGCGATGCAATTTGCCGCAGAGAATGCATGTTAAGCATTTCGCCCTAATTGATGAGAGAAGATTACAGACAATCAATTAATAATGTAGGTTATTAATTAGCAAGCTGCAAGAAAGAGCTTAATTTATTGTTAATTTATTGTTCGTATTAGTGCATGTTTTCTTCCTCGCTCCTTAATTAGGATGATTAAAGACAAACGTGTTAAAAAATTACGATGCGACAACTGTCAGTTAATATCCATTTAATCACATGCCCTTTGTTCCGAATATACAATATATATACCACGATTATTTGTCTCCTGTCATGTAAAAATTCCCGCGGGGACAATTCCATTATCTAAGACCGTCGTCGTCGTCTCGCTTCTATTTTAAAACAGATTAATTCGAGTACTACAACGCCCTGTTTCGTCACAGTTTTAATAAATCGAATGAGAAACCCCCATTGAAAATATTCGGGCACAGCGCGGAATTTAATTAGCTCTCAACGCACGTTATTACAAACGACCGCGGCTTGAAATTAATGTTTTAGCCGATATAAAATATTTAAGGGATTACCTCTCCGCACCACGATTGTGTGTCATGTAGCGAGCAAGCGGGTATATATGACGCAAATTAAAACGTAACGCGGCTCTCAACGTATGCGGCAGGTCACACGCGTCCGAATATTCGCGCCGGTGCGGCGCATCCCGCGCCAGCGCGAATATTTATCGTCGTAAAGGAGATTTGCGCGTAAAAATGCATAGCGGCGGTTACTAGAGAGACGTGCGTTGCATCGATGATGCCGCGTAAAATTAGATTCGGCTAAAAACGCGCCCGACTTTCGGCGAAAATCACTTTTAATGAAATTGCGTGATGTGTATATGTATTTAAAATATAATTTAACCACCTGATGTGGTCGCATATAGTTTGAAAATAAAGGTCGACTATCATTCAGCATTGAAGCTTGCATGACACAATAAAGTCCATTTTTCTTCATTGATTGACGTATCACGATGACAGTTGATGTAATAATTGTAATATAAAATCTCTATGAGATTTCTCTCTTTTTATGCTAACATTGCGTTTCGTAAAGATTGTTAGTGACAAATTTACGCTTTATTTGTGCTTTTTCACTTTACGAAGAGAATGCAGTGAAATGTGCACGCTATCTTTTGGCACGCAGAAATGTAACAAATAATTTAGGGATTTAATTTATTGTTCCATTTAAAGATTGAATCCGTTTTCTATGCGTCATTTATTCTGTATCGATTTAAATGCACAATTTCCGGAATGGGGTTGTACATTAGGCTACGCGAAAGAGTATTCGATTCCGAAGCGCTATTGTACTTCGTATTAAGTCGAAGCTCTTCACGAGCGATCGAACAGGGACGAAAGAATTTGGGTGATGAATGAAGATTGTTGTCTGGCATAGAGCGAAGAAGGGTCAGGTCGGTATTGCATGTTTCGAAGAGGATTTTCTCGAGTGCGCTTGGCGAGGGGAGATCCTTGTCAGCGCAAGTGCCTCTATTTCGCCAAGTTAAAAAGAAGTTCGCTAGCTTGTCCGTATCATTTGCTGTCCTCGGACGACGATATTTCGAACCCCGTACCATATGAGCTCGCTCAAGGGATGAGACCGCCCGAGAGCGTTCATTTATCAGATACTCGTAAAATATAACGAAGAATGCATGCATCATATTTACTGTTCTAAACGCGGTCCAATATCGAGTACACGGTCGTCATACTAAACGGATAAATGACGAAAACCGTGGCACACGGATATTGTATACTTGGAGTTACCTTTAATGCGAACGAATGCACAAATTTATGTAGCACACACCGACACATTTATGTAGTACTACCAGGCTTCAGCTTCGTTCAGCTTGCAGTTATCATCACAATGTTCCGCGTGCTTTCCGATCTCTCGGAAAGCACGACTCGTGTATGGAGGTCTGCGTTTGTGCACGTACGTGCATACAATAGCGGCATAATAGCGCGGACGAACGATAAGCTAATAAAGTCGGGGTCGGCGCTCGTTAACGTCCCTTTTTTATCGCGAGAACGTGCCCCGCCAAGAGCGTAATTATTACTATCGTGGCGGCGAGACGATTTAATCGTGGCGTCACACTGCAACTTGGACAATCTTACGAGCCGTTCCAATCCTCTCCTGTGTTCCCGTCTGTTCCTCTCTGTACCCCCCCCGTGCCGGACTCGCGTTTACGTCTATTCGGAATCCAGCCACGACTCGCGCGGTGGACGAGAAAAAAATTTTTTTCTCCCCATTTGGTTCTCGCGTCGAACTTAAATTAAAAATGTTGGCAGGTGCGACGTGACGCGAATGAATCCCGCTATACGTACACAAATGCGTCAACATGTATTATCTCGATCTGAATAACGACAGACGTTACCGGCAATATTTATACGGTCGAGAGAAAAAAAGAGAAAGAGGTAGAGAGAATAAAGAGAGAGAAAGAAGACATAATAGAAATTCATAACGCTGTCGATGTCGGGGAGCTCCAAGTACGATATCGTGTGCTGAAGAAAAAGGCGGGGAAGCAATAAGGGTTGATTAGATGCCTGGCGGGGGGTTATAATATCTCCGTTCAACGTGACATTATTAATGCATTAAAGACATCGATGAAGAGGTTGAATGTAACAAAAAAAGTCAGTGTGGCGACTGAGAACTTTTTTCCACGAAATGTTATATAATTTCTCTACAAGTTCCCTTACTTTGTAAGTTATATTAGCTTATTTCGCATTGAATAAATTTCTGTCATTTTATTCACCTGTTTTATCGTTCTGTTGTATTTTATAATCCTTTGTCCATTTTTTCTTTCTTATACAAATATTAACATTTTAATTAAATAACGAATGTGGAACAGAGAATAAAAAGAAAGTTTTATACATTTTAATTCTAATTGAAGAATTAAAGTCTTTAACTTTACGTGGCTTTAAAGTAAACGACTACAGAAAAAAATTTTAAAACCAATTTCTTTTTTAGATAATATATAGAATACACGAAAACAAAATTAATTCCTGTCAATTATTAAAGTTGTTTCTTTTTGCGAACTTAAGATTCTGTTCTTTTTTTATTTTGGTATTTAAAATATTAAATTTATTCAATCTGAATTCTGTAACAGATCGATATATATATCTTATCAGTTTGGTAACAACTGTGGTTAGTATTGCGCAACTGGTGCGCGAAATTGTCTTCTCTCGCAAAATCGGGATTTCCCAGACACCTTTTATCAGCGTGAAAAACATTCGTCGTCGTGAAAGCTCACGTAATCACGTTTTAGCCACCATTGAGGATAATTGCTTGGAGCTCTCTAAGCAGATCTAATAAGAAATTCCCGGAGCGCGCCGACCTTGCGTAGCTAATTAAAAACTAAATTTGCTGAAACTTCCCCGCGCCAGCCGGAGTCTTTGCGGACGGTCGTATTCTTGTACGAAATGGAAATGAAAATTCCCCAATTTCCCCGGTCGGAATCTCAACGTCGCAAATATTTCTTATGGAGTCTTCGAGCGGAACGACCTCATGATAATTCCAGCAACGAGAAATAATTATACATTATAAAAAATTAGGATCTACATTGGTACTATACAGAACGTAGAATTGGGTAAAAAAATTATTCAATGGATCTTGTGTCATGTAACACAACCTTTCCCCATTTACAATATAATTCAATTCGCAGACAGATATGATATATGACACGTATATTTTACGATACACGGAAGCGACATTTTAAAAGGCCTCCCCTCTCAAAAAAATAATTTAGTTTTACATTCGGCACAGATGCGATGAATAGCAGATGTCTTCCGCTGGAAGATGATATTCCGCGGTAAATATACGAGGATGGAGATCGGAGCAGGTGGAACGCCAGGCATCCGATTGATATCCCCGATTCGTGCGGAGGAGGGACAGGATCGAGGAGGGAATGAGAAAACGGTATACCTAGCGTGGAATCTCAAAGCACGGGGAATAAAATCAGCGCGGGGCTACTGCCGCGCGAAAATGCGACTCGCATTCGATTTTTATCACGGCGACCCGAATGTCGATCGATTGAGTTCGAATGTCTTTTCGACGAACGATAGTCCGGATTTAGATCTCAAGATGTTCAAAGAATCGGTCGGGCTCGAGATGACCGATTTGGAATGCCTCAGCGTGATGGCCGAATGGCTCGTAATAACGTTTCGACCGAATCTTCTCTCCCCGGCGAATCGTCATCATTATTTCACCCGGTTTCCAGGTCGCTCGTACAAACACGTGATCCCTCTTGAGTTAAGGCATTATCTCTGTGATCATTGGATGTGGAAAGCAATATTCGACGGATATTAGTAACAATACTTCTATCGGGAATATTTAAAAATATACTAGCTAATACTCTAGCTTCTAATTTCTTTTTACGCACTTTGCGTAAATTCTCAATTTTACGCGACACTTCTCAATCAACAATTCACTCGTTTTCGAGCCACGCGCAATTCTTTCTTCGGATAATTCTATGGTTGAAACTTTTGAGGGATATGGGGAGCAAATATTGCGAAAAATGTAACCGTCGTAGTTCACGAGTTCTCGCAAAATGGTAGTCTCCCTCGTTGTTACTCGTACAGTGCGTTGCTCGTATAAAGCATCAACTATGCATTACTCGTTATCATGAAGATGCTGTTTTGGACTAAAGGGATGAGTAACGAACTTCAATAGGGGGTGAGATGAAGAAAGCTTGGCGCCTCTCTCTCTCTCTCTCTCTCTCTCTCTCTCTCTCGCCAAAGCTTTATTAATCTCAAAATGCTAACGTATTTAACTTTCCGTGTAACAACAGCATTCTACGGTTGAAAAACGTGAAAGAATCTGATTAAATGTTTCTTTATAAAATATAA